GGCCTCACTCTCCCTGGGGAGCAGAAAGGAGATGGGATGGGGGGGCAGGGGAGGAGGGAAGGGAGAGGGAACTGGGATTGACATGTAAAACAAACTTGTTTATTATTTAAATTAAAAAAGGAGAAAAAATAGACATTAAGATCTGAGGGATTTTCAAAAGCTTGAAATAAAACAAGGACTGGTGAGATGAAGAGGCAACAAGACATCAACATTGAAGAGGAAAAGCAACATTTGCCTTAACATTCTGCTACAAAAGAAGAGCACTTGAACAGGTGCGTGTCAGGAAGAGCTGTGATCCATTTTGTTAGGAAAATAAAAAAAAAGAAAAAAGAAGAAAAAGACAGAAGAGCTGTACAGGTTGCTGTGGTGTAGATCCATGTGAGACTCATCTGCTTTAAGGAAAGAACGATAGAAACATACAAGATTTTGGCACAACACTGTAACATGGTGCTTTTCATGACACAGGTTGAGGGAGAGCACCTGGGAACCTAGAGCATGTTTTTACCCTTAACAGTGCTTCCACAGAGTCTATTCTCCTGCTGATTGGAAGACAACTAGCACAATTATGGTATTATAAACATCCCAATCATAAAACTCCAATGACTGATAGTATTTATGACTTAGAATTGGAACGCTTCTCCTCACCCCAAGATCATGTTTTGAGCAATCAGTCCCCAGTTAGGTTGTTATTTTGAAGGTTGTGGAGCCTTACCTTTAGGACGTACGTCCCTAGGGGTGGGACTCTGAAAGTTCTACCCCTGGTGTTCCTTCTCTGTTTCCTGTGTCAGCCATGTGAACAAGAGCACCCACACTCCTGACACCAGAGAACAGTAGTTCCACTTTGCCTTCCCTAGGAAGATGGACCATGACACTCTGAACCCTGGAGTCAACACATCACTCCTTAAGTTGCTTCTGTCAAGTATTTTGTGACAGCCAGGAAGAAAGTAAGGACTGCTCTGATTCACAGTATTTGACTATTGATGAGGAATTAAGACAATCAAAAGTGGGAAACATTTGGAGCCATCTTGAGGAATGGCCATCCACAGATTGCTGAGAGTAGAAGAGAGTTATAGCACAATACCAAGAGGGCAGTGCTGGGTGGGAAAGCTCAGGGCTCGTCAGTTCCTGGGATTGGGACCAAATTAAGACTTTCAATTTCGAATTGCTCAAATCTGGTTTTATTACCTTTTCTTTTTCTCTACTACTTCTAACAGTTATCCACAAAGCATTTGTTATCTTCTGTGTCAATAAATGCCACGAAATTAGAAGTATATGTGCATGATGGACATTTATGATACAAAACATATTCTTTCCATTTATAAACTTTGTGTGTGTGTGTGTGTGTGTGTGTGTGTGTATGTGTGTAGTCTATGTGATCTTTTGTTATTGTTATTATTAGCTATATGTTTTTATTGTCAATCTATGTTTTCCCAACATTACCATTTACTTTTTTTATCTTTGACTTTTCCATTGCCTGCACATGAGATTTATTCATAGACAGCAATAACCTTTGCATAAATACACTTGTCTTTTTGAACAACTACCAAGCATTGAAGCCAAGAGGAGTATATATGGGGTCTTTTCCCTTTGTTAGATAATTGCTTAGTCACCTTTTTTCTTTCAACTTAGGTAAGAATATTGAAGATGTTTCCTTAAATGTATTTTGCTTACAAGCTGGACTGGGTATAAATTTCTTCACCAAATTTTCTATCCTGCCAAGCACTTCCAGTGTGCAACCAGCATAACAAAAACATTTCATTCTCATGGGCCTTAAGGTGTAATAGAAAACGTGAATCATTTTCCTTCTCCTCTACTCTCTCTTTTTAACGCAAATCATCCTTTTCTTCTACTTGAAAGGGAAAAATTGTTAAGTGAGGGGAATAGTAGAGTATAGGGGCAGTAAGAGCAGAGATGGGAAATTGGAGCAGGATTCAAGCAGATAGTAGTTTGATGGGAATGGGGAGACTGGAGGCCAGGGCAGAGGGTCAGCAGAATGAGGTGTGCACGGCGATGCTTCTTGGAAACCTACTTGCAATCCAAGTATAAGAGGAGATAACAGAGCACATGTGATAAAAAAGAACAAGGGAGGGATTCTGGGGACTGACGGTTTAAGTGGGGATGGAGACAGAGGGTAAAGGGAAAGGCGGATAGCAGGTGGGTTAATTGAAACTAAGGAGGCCTGAAAAAAGGCTTAAGAATCCCTACTAGTTTGTGAGCTAATTGGAAATATAATTAAAATTGTTTCATACTCAAAATGATCATTTTTTTTCTATGAATAGCTCATAACATTTTTTTTCAATGGGCCAAAGAAAGCCAGAGGTCACACGAAAAAAGCCATACTCTTGAAGTGCCTACATGGTGTTGTTATCTCAGTGGCTGACCTAAAATGTCATGTGGCAGACAGAAATCCTCAAGAGAATGACATCACAAAGTAACTCCTTTCAACATCTCCTCTTGCTGCTTAAGATTATTTAGAAGCACCATGACTTGACAACACTTGCATGCACATTTTTGTCTAACCTTCAGTTTTCTTTAATAAGTCTCCAAATTGGGATGGATATTAAAACATATTTCAAGATAAGAAATGCAGAGGTGGAAGTGTTACTATCGGAGACTTCATCATAAATAGAAAGTTAAGTCACCGTCAAGGGGACTTAAACAGAACCATGCTCTCACATAGCTGTACCTTAAGGAATCTGGCGACGCTGTGGTTCGCCCTTTTGGTTTCCTCCAGGGCTTCCTTGTATTTCCAAATCACGTGGTCACACAGGCCCATCACCAGATTGTCTAGTTCACTTTGGTAAGACTCAGGGAATCTTTGGGCTCTGGGAAGCTAAAGAAAGAAAGTCTTATTCATAATGTGGCACGTGACTCACCAGGTGGCAACAAGCAAACAGAAAGGCTTACCTTATTTTATAGAACAGCAAATCAAAGGAGCTCTTCAGAAAACTTGAAAGCAGTAATATAACTTAAAAGCCTTTTTACATTACAAGGTCATAATTCTACCGTTTTTAAATGTTCCCTTCTAGCTTGACTGGCAAATTTACACCTTTTCATTAAAAACTGTTAATCTCGAATACTCAAGCAATATGTACAAAGCAAAACGTGAATAATTTATGCTCTTATCTATTAATTCCATCCTTTTGCCTCCCAAGAAATAACTATTAAACTTTAAATAAAATATATTAATTTTAGAAAGAGTATTATTCCAAAATAGTTTTTAGTCAGTTAAGTCCATTTATCATAATTTAGAATGATTGGAAACTTCCCAATGAAAAACTCTGAGTGCTCAGTCTTAAAAGGGCCATCTATAGCAAGGCCCACTCCCAGTCCAAGGGAACATCAAAAAAGAGAGGGTGGAAAGAACTTAAACCATGGAGGCCTGGGAAGAATGTCATGAAATGCTGCCACCCAGATATGAAACTGTTATGGCTGCTGTGATCACACAGTGTTTATAGAAACTTGCAAAAGACCTTATGTCAATCATGGAGAGAGAAAGGACCCATGAGGTCCTACTTAGCTCCTTAAGGAGCCAATGAGTCTTAGTGGATGCTGAGGAGGGTATGTAATTTTGTCTAATGCTGTGGCTTATGGGGCACTAGATGGGAAGAAAAGGGGGTTCATAAGGAAGGTACAGGGACAAAGGAGGGTAATGGGGAGGGGTGAATATGGTCACAATATATCATGCATATCTATGAAGCCGTCAAAATGTAAAGAAATAAGATGATAATGAATATCCAGGGGATGGCTCCATTGGTAAGTTGGTTCCTTTGGAAGCAGGAGGAACTTTAAAGGCTGGGCATGGTTGCTTGCTTCTTCCACCCTTTCACAGGGCATTATTGGAGCTCATTGGCCAGAGAGTGTAGCCAGTCCCTGAGTTCCAGGTTCAGAGAGGGACTGTCTCAAGAAAATAAGTTGGAGAGTGATTGATGTCAACCTCTGGCCTCCACATGAACTCACACACGTGTTTCTGAACACACAGGCATGCACTTACTCACTAACACATTGACATTGTACACAGACAGAAATAAAAATGTAAAAAGTTATAATAAATAAGCAAATCACTGGGTGAGAATAGTTACTGGTCTGAAACAGTTTCTAACATGAGTTTTAGTCAGTCCTAACTCTATGGCTCCAGAGTATACCACAGATAAGAAATATCAAGATCTAAGTAAATGAAAACATCTAATAAAAAATAAAAAAATAAATGCCAAGATCCTTAAGACACTAGATATAGAAGAGCTTGTATGTGAGACAATATAACATATATAACACAACTTATGTCATGTTTGGATGTCAGTATAAAAGAGGAAAGTTTGAAACAGCCAAGTTGTCTCTCTGGTTTTATATGGGCCTTTTCTATAAGGCCAATAAGACCCATTAATCTCTACAGGTTGGCTTCAGTAATTATTGTCACTACAATTAGAGTTAGAATAAATCACGTAATTTTCAGCTGCAAGCCTTTCATACTGTAAGAATACAAAATATGAGGGTTGTTATTATAGTGGTTGTTTTAAATGGAGATTTAATAACAGAACAATGGAGCTGACTTTTGTTTTGCTTTCCATAACCACTTGGAAGTATTTTGAGAACCTCATCAGTATTCTTTGTATGCATTTAAAATTTATTGTTGAAATCATACAAATTGATTAAAAATCACCGAACCTAATAAATCACACATGTTATTCTCATTCTCCATATATCTTGGGCAATAGGTTTGGGTAAATAATTTGCCATTATAAAGCAGCAGTCATTTATTAATTGTGTTGTGTCTGTGGGGAGTGTTTTGTGTAGACAGGTATGTATGCATATGTGTGTGTATGGGGGGGGCTGGATTCCAGAGACTAATCTCAAGTGTCTTCTTTAGGGGCCATCCTCCTTGTTTTGTGGGACACGATCTCTCATTGGGACCTGATGCTTGCTATTTGCTATGCTTATTGGCCAATGAGCTCCAGAGAACTCCCTGTCTCCACTTTCCAGCACTGGAAGTGCATGCCACCATACCTGGCTTTATATATGGGTGCTAGGATTCAAACTTGTGTCCTTGGGTTTGTAGAAAGCATTTTACTATCTGGGCCAACCCCTAGCTCCACAAGCACTTGTTAAAAAAGCAAAACACATTTGTAGTTTCCTCTTTGGGTGTTGTTCATTTCTGAGACTCATATCATGTACCAGAGCTTGTTTTCTCCTCGGAGACATGTACAAATGGCACAGATTTTGATATTCTCTTTAGGCCTTCAGTTGAAATTCTCTTCGTGTTCTACTCCTACCCCTAACCCAAAGGCATGTTATATGGTACATGCACAAGGGATATTTCCAACCACTCTCCGGATGAATATCAGAAAAGCTTGAGCTGAAGGACAGTAGAGAAAGGGGGTGAGGCTCCCAAACTGGAAATCGAAGAGGACCTGGGCTTTGAGACAGCCAAGGTCATGAAGGGTGGACCCTGACATGGGGCATTTGGGAGCTTTGTTGGAAATGAGTGATGGGGAGGAGAAGGCCGATCAGCCCCATGGACCTGCTGGTACTTGAGATTAGCGTTGAGAAAACCTTTTGCAGATCCCAGGAATATGACCACCCCTAAATCAGAAGACAGGGGTACTCTCTGTCCAGTCATGTCACCTCTCTCAGCAGGCCAAATGACACATTGTTTCCAACTCCCTCAGATTCCCCACACTTGCTCCAGAAACTCATGACTAAAATTTCTTCAAAGCAGAAAGCCACTCACCTCATAATTAAAAGAGAGAAGAGAAAAAAAATATGGAGACACCAAGGGAGAAGTTTACTCTGAGTGCTTTTGTGTCAAATGATGACACCTTTTCCTATGGAAACTAATTATGAAAATGGAAGGTGCTGGTTCCCTGTACAAATTAGAGTGTGCAGGCTACCACTCAAGTAGGCAACATAAAGACCAGCTGTGATCAGTGAAAGATGAACTACTGGGCACAGTGGGACTGTCTAGACTGTTTGCTCTCAGTCTGTTCTGTGACCTATCTGTGTGGAAGCTACATATCGATTACACCCGTGGCAGAATTTAGTCCAATCCATTCTCTTATGGCTGAAATAAACAGCCCCTATCTAGATGTCAAGTGTCATTTTTACTAGCCAGCACTTCAGTCACAGAGCAGGGATTATGGCAGCAAGAGAATTTCGGATCCCAGCAGGGTAGAATTTAGAGATAAGAATTTTTTTTTTCCTTCAGGTTAGATTTTCCTCTTCCTTTGGGGCAGGGGATTCTTATCTCTAGAAGAAGGAAAGTAGGTGTATCCAAAAAACCACATGTGGTTTGGGGTGAAGACATTCACTGCTGCAGAGATGGATGAACAGCCAAGGCACTTTGTCAAGGTGATGGTTGCAAAGTGGTGGGATCTGGAAGCATGGGCAAGTGCTTCTGGTTGGTGACCCGAGGAAGCACCCCTGTGTGTTTCCCTTAACCTTTAATATCTATAGAGTGTCTCCTATCTCTTCTAAGAGTCAGCTCTTCCCATTAGAGAAGACACCACAAAGTCCTGACTTTGTAAGGAAGTAGGAAAACTTTGGGTAAGCTGACCCATCTCTTCCTTTGTAAAAAGGCCCTGAGCTGATGGCTTCCTGGGCCTAATCAAATAGGATAGAAAACTTATCACAATTGGCTATGCAAACCAAGTCGCTTCTACAAGACCAACATGAAAGACATTTAATGTTGGACACTGAGGCTGTTGGATGAAAAGGACAGAATATAAAAGGGCATGCATTAGAATTCATAGCTAAGAAGATTTTTTTTTTTAGCATGGAGAATTAAATGATAGGTAACTTGCTATAAGGCATTGGTGGCTTTTCAGATCAAAGAAATGGACGTAAGTCACCTGAAGTCAAATTTGTAAATGTCGTAGCTACTTCAGCAGAGTGTAAAGCCTGGAGTACAGATGTAGAAGAAAATGTACACAGAAGGGAATTGCTATTGAGTGAGACCATCATGCCCATTAGAACATGAAGTTGCATAGGAAAGCATAGTCAACACTTGAATGAATCCAAGCCACCAACAAGGTGCTGTCATGTTCTGTGGTATATGGTGTGTGTTAGTACCAGCCATAAGTAGTCATAATACCGACTCATTAACCATCATAGAGATAATGGGTTAGGCTAGTAACAGAGACCTTGTGATATGCTTGGCTAGGGCATTGTGATTGGTGGTAAAGCTAGAGGGACATCCAAGAAAGCTCGACTCTGAGGGACTGGGAAAAAAGCTATAGCCAGCCTATACACTGTTAAGTTTTAATCCTCTTTTAGACTAAAAGGGGAATTGTAGGGGAAGCTGTAGCCACGCCTACTTAGGGGTTGGCTACAGGTGTGCCTAACCACGCTTGCAAGGGCGTGGCCAGGGTGATGTACAGCGATACTGCGTTTTCGATTTCGGTTTCACTTTTGGGCTTGCATACAGACTGCTGCCACGCCGGCTGGCTAGGTTGCTCTGTAAGTAAGGCTTTTCCCTATTAAATACCCTTGTATTTCTACCTGACTCCGTATTGGTAATTTCTCACTATACTGGATAATGCCATGTAAAATATGCAGGAGCTGAACTATGGCAGTAACTGACATGGACGAAGAAGTTAGGGCCAGACAACTTGAAGATGAAGGTGTCTGTATCTTTAAGTAAATACAATCCTGTCTCTGAGTTAACGTTCACATATAGTACATATGAATAAGATGAAGCTGAGTTAGAGAAAAGCTTCCAAAATCTCTACTGAATAACTTATATGTAGTAATGATTCTATTTTTCTCCCAAAGGTCTTATATATATTCACCAAGGCTATGTATGCTGGAAAGAGGGGGTTATTCACACACTCCAAGCACCATTGGATACCAGATCTACATGACTTTTCTATCTAGAAACCCAATTCACTCTCATGTCTACTGTGCAGACTTACAGGGATTGAAGATGGAATTTTAACTACAGCTCTGATGACATTTTAGATGGACGGGGTGTGAGTGTCAAAGGACCACTCCAAAGTCATTTACGTGGTCCCAAACGTGAAGTTTATATAGAAGCAACTGACATTTGGATTAACACTGAACATGGAGTTTATTGTTTGGAGCTGTCTTTGTGAGGATGCCAGAGGGAGCTCTGACTCTGCCTATCCCTCATCAGGAAGGCAATGTCACTGATCTGCTGTGCTCACCACATGCAATACTGTTCTGACTCTTCTCCTGGTAGTGGTGGTGGTGGGTGGGGGTGAATGCTAGCATTCCCTTCTTGGCTTTATCTAAATGGAGGCTGAGACAGGTGTTTGAGAGCCTGAGGCATTCCCTTGAGTGCTCATGGGTGGGTCCTCATCCTCTGACTGTGATTGTTAGTAACCACAGACCACATGCAACAACACTGGCTGCAGAGAAGTGAGGTTGCCAGGGATTCATCCCACTGGGGAAGGAGGGTCTGGGTCACACTCTCTTGTGGGTCACCATAACCTTCCCAGATATGAGTTAGGGTGAGATGACCTGGAACGGATTATAGAGGAAGGGGTGATGAGCTCAGCTAGATTTCTAAGGAGATGAGATGCTGTAATAGGAGCTGGAGTAAATTCCACCCCTACCCCTCCTCTTCTAAGAGAGGCCTATGGGGGCTATGGAGAAGCAGATTCATGAGTGTGTGTAATGTGCCATGATAACTGTGGACTGCGGAAGCCCAGACATTTCTTTAACTAATGGAAACCATGTAAAAAGCTGCTATCCCAGACCCAATCAATCATTCATGGCAAAAACACATTATCCCAGGATGATTCCACTCAGTGATGGAGCTGGCAGAGGCTTGCCAGCAGGACCTATGCAGTGTGCAATTCCTCCAATGAGCATCCTCTGCTTCCAGATGATACACTGGCCAGGCTGAAAGCTTCTTCAGTGCCAGGCTCATTTTAACCAACCCATCTCCCTTCTCCATTTTTCTCTCATAGGTACTAAACCTGCCTACCTCTTTTTTTCCATTTGTCCTTTATAATTACTTCTCCCCAATAGATCTTTGCATTTGTAATTTTGTCCTGGCATCTGCTTCTGAATGGGCCTTTATTAACATACACGATCATTTCTTGTACTTAAAAAGCAATTAACATAAATTGCTAAGGTTTTACACAGCCGATAAAGGTGGAACTAATGAGAACATGTTCATTAGTGTAAATTGTTGGATGATATTACATTGCTATATTACCTATGATCTTACCTGAATTTTATTTGTATCAGTCAAGTGCTGTGCCATTGATTTTAGAATAATTGCAAAGAAGAACCAAGAATGCTATAAGGGAAAAAGAGATAAAAAGATTTATTAATCTATGTAAAAATAATGATAATTATGATCTTTACAATACAACATTGCCACACTTTTTTTTTTTTATCTTAAAGTAAATGAGTAAGTTAAATGGACCAGGGCAGTGATACATTCTCTGTTACCTTAGGTTGACTTTTATCAAAGTTATAATTGCCATAGCCCAGATCATATGTTTCAGTTTCTTAATAGTATAAAAAATTGAAGCTAAAAAGTAGACAGTTTACTTGAGATAACTTTTTGAGTATTTGTTCACCAACGATTTACTCATGAGATACTCTGTTCATTTCACTTTAGTTAAAAAAGAAAAAAACTCAAATAAAGCTTTTGTGGCAGGCTCATTTTCATGCTTTTAATTATGTTCTAGTTTTCTATGTGTTAATCATTTTCCCACTGATACTTACACATTGAAGGTCTATTTCCTTTTTTCTACCACTGAACTCCCCATAAAATTGCTATTCTCCCGAGACTGCCTTTTTAATTCAACAAATGCCATTTAGAGCCTCGTTACGGAGACAGTCATTAGCATGGGGTCATATTACATCACCACATCCCATATCCAGTCATCATGAACCTCTTGGCTGCACTGCCAGAGGGCATTCGAATCACATCCCCTTTGTGGCTGGTGCAGTGTTGTGGTAACCTTTGTGGAAGGGAGGAGGGGCTGTTGTCCATCCTAAAGAATCAAGGATCACTTCACTGGAGAAATGAAAGTGACGGCTTGATAGTGAAAGTGAAGCCCACACCATTAGGGATATTTAAGGAATCCAAGGCATACTGCAACCACCTCCAATCATTTCCTGTTCCAAACTGCACTTTTAGTCATTATACCAAATGTTCCGCCATTTCTTTCCATATCCAACAGACTCTCTCCACTCTATAGGCACGGCAGACTGCTCGCAGATTCTCTGACTTTCTCTAACCCCTCCTCTCCTTGTCCACAGTGGTGCGTTCAGACTCACAGACATGCTATAGCCCTACTGAATAGATGAGGCCTTTTCTGCATCTGCAAGGCGTTACTCTAAAAATCCTCATGGTCAGCTCCCTTACTTCCTTCTCAAGTGTTACCTTCTCTATCAGCTCACCTGCCTACCCCAGTAGAGGCACAAGTCTCCCTTTCTGTTCTCAGCATGCTTAGTACTTTTAACTGCTCTATGCTTTCTTTTCTCATTCATCTTGCCATTGGCATATAATTTGTGTTTAAATTATATCAAGAGCTCATTTCCCCCAGTAAGCTTCCAAAGGTATGGAACTTTAGTCACTGCTCTAGTGTATCCCAAGTGCCTAGGGGTCTGACTGCTTCAAGGTAGGCACCTGAAATATATGTTGAATAAATACAGGGAATATACTCAGAAGGCTGCTTGAAAAATGAACTACTTGGTCTGTCAAGATTAGATTTTTGTGAACTTATGCTGATGGCTTATGATGTAATATTGCCTTTCTAGATGTTTGCAGTCAGTTGGGTCCAATCAGATGAATTTGTCACGTCGCAATAGACAAAAAGCTTGCATCAAAATTGAGGGTTCCAACATTGTTTTATAGGTTTTACACGGTTTCTTCTTCATGTCACTGCACACATTTGAACCTGAGACCAAAAACTGGCCACTGTCACTCACTTATCCTCCATTGCCAATATGCTCATTAATATGCCATTACAATCATTTCCTATCTAGTTTTTCCTGCTGTAACTAGCCACCCAAGCTTTGTGCTATACTTACTGTTTGTGAATATTTCAGATAATTTTTAATAGTCATTCATTCTGCCTTTAGATCAAATCATGGGTGCAACCTGTTCCTCCATTTCTTTTACTTGATAATTTGACATAATTCAGTTTTGATATGAGACTTACGTCAGAAATTAGAAGGGCAATGACTTGTGGAAATCAGTGAGTCCTGTCACCTTCTAGTGATAGAGATCTGTGGCCACTTCTAGCGACTTATGCACTATAATGAAGAGGATTACCTTTAGGACATGCTTGACTATCGTTGAGTCATTTGACTTCAAAAGATCACTCAAATTTTTAGTCAGTTCCTCATGTATCGTTCTCTCTTTGTAGGACTTGGTCTTGAATACAAACTGAAGAAAACCCAGAAAGATGAACAAAGTTAATTACTCTTAAAGGGTTGCAAAGATTATCCCACACAAATAACTCATCTCTCCTGATCAACTGCTTGCGTCAGCTTTAGTCTTGGAGTCAGTGGAGCCTGATGCTAAGAGTAGGATACACTTGCTCCTATTTGGGGTCTTGGCAGAAATAGGGCCTTGCTCACCTAAGCTCTCCTTGGCACTCTTTCTGTAGAAACCAAGAGAAAGGGCCAGAGAGCCATTGAGCAGGTTGAAGGAATCATGGAGGGCTTGGACCCACCTACTTAGGACACACTCTCCTTCTCTTTCCTTCCACTGGCAACGGGTGGCATGGTAGCAATTCTTCATCCTGAAAGGGTAGAGCACCCACTCAAATAGCCAAGTGGGGAAGCAAGTACCTTCCAGAAGCAAGGAGGTGAGCCCCCACAAGCCCAGGTTTTACCGTCCTATGCTAGACACAGCTATCAAGAAGGTTGATAAACATCAGCCATCAGGAAGATAATAGATGCTGCTTACTTTTCTTTTTTCCAAGGATTATCTTGGTGATAACTTTCTTTCTTTATTCATATATTTTAAGAACATCAATACACACATATGAGCACACATATTTCAAAAGCATTAAATGCTTAGAATTGAATTATAGTTGTTTATTTATGAGATGGGATTCCCTCAAGAAAGGGTATTGCCTTCATGATAGTCACAATTTAGAATAGATTACAATTAGAGGGAAGGCAGGCAAGAGAATGGTACATTTGCTTTTGGATCTCTAACCCTTTCTTAGGACTTCGAAGCACATTAGCACCATGGTAGGCCCTGAGGTTTGAAGCTCATCTCAAAGGGGAGACCAAAAGCTAATGGACTACAGCTAAGGGTAATTAATTTCTCCTAAGCATTGAGCTTCCTATGAAGACAAACTCACCACCAACTGCTGAACTCTATGCTGTTATTTAGCCTGAAGGAGATTTCATTTCAACTAGCACTCGGCTATTCTAACATTACAAACCTGATTCTTAGAATTGTCAGTGCTATAAACCCCCGTGAAGCACAGCATTTAATTACGTTGACTTAGACACACATCTTTGGAAAAGACATGGTGTATGTGTGCAGTTCTGATACTGTAGATGGAGTGGGTTAGCAGCACTTGGTACCACTGAACTTGAAATGGTGTTCCATTTACTTGTGGATAAATATAAATTACAATGATTATACCGTCACCCAAGGATATACAAGCATGTCTTGTAATCAGCCCATTTGTTTTTTAATAATGTTCCTAAGGGTGGGACTTAATAGACACCTATATGTTAAATGTTTCCCTTCCATCTATGGTAAAAATGATTTCGAACTCTGAGGTCAAAGTCAGGCTGTTAACCATATACCTAGCAGGAGTCTGCTCACAGAACCACACAGCTGGATCCTCATCTTGTCTGTCTCCTCTTGTGTATCAGAGGAGACAGCTGAGGATTCCCGAGGCTTGCTTCTCAGGGCAATGCACTGCTTAGGTTCCAGTTTCTCACTTCTTAATTTAGGGATTATTTTTCCCAGAGTGACCCAGGAGTTGGTTTTACTTATTAGGAAGTATTTGTTTATTTCAAAATAAATTCTAAAATGTCTTTAGGAATTGTCAATCTGAAATCCCACATAAGTATATCTCTGAATTTGAGTTACTTTAGAACAAAGGAGATGAGCCTCCCCTAAACCACCTCTCTTCTGTATTGCATATCAGGACACTCTTGTCAAGGTATTTCATGTTTTCTGGGTGAGAATGAAACCTATTCCAAGATGTATTTCCAAGGGCACCACAGAGTATGAGTCTGAGCAGCTGAGGGTCCTACAGGAGCTGGCCTTGGTGATGACAGAAGTAGCCACAACAGCTGAAGTTCTTGATATATTTTAAACAATTCCATTGAATGAGGAAACTGATACTACAGAATGGAGTTGTCTGAATGAAGTACAATGATTCAAGGAATTATTTTATTCTATGTGGTCTCTTTGTAGATTGAAATAGAAAGTTAGGGTAAGTATTGAGAAGATTAACTCTTTCCAGATGATTACATTGGCAAAAACACTCATCATTCCACTAGCAAAATAAGCAACGACTCTCTATTAAGCACAGAGCAAACTACAAGGTATTTGTAGGTATAAGTAGCTTTTGGTGATTGAAGTCAGGGTCCTAGCTGGTAAGATTATACTCTAAGGAAGTTGCTGTGTAATGATTATTTCTAGCATACAGGTCATTGTATGGAGGTCTGCACACTCATGCTTTGGTATTTGGGGAAGACATCCAACATTTCCAGCAGAAAATTCCATCCTTTCAGGTGGAATCTCAGAGTGGTTCATTCCAGAATGAGATTTTTAGCTCCTTTCTTTGGTATCTACATTTCTACAGCACCAACCATTGTCAAAAAAGGTTTCTATCACAAAAGATCCCGATTCTTCTCTGGTTGCATTTCTAAACATCTAGAATGTACAACTACATGTTTATCCCTGTATATGACTTGACTATATTTCCTTCAAAAATCAACATCTCCAAAGATCCAGTCTGTGTGTATGAAATGGGAATGTAAGTTTTGCATGTTTTATAAAGTAATTTAGGATGCTTGTATTTTCTTTTAATGAAAGGATGTTTGGAGTCAAGCTATGGGAATGCAAACATCACCACAAGTTCATTGGCATCAATTCACAGCCAACTGAAAATGAGAATAGAACATCTCCAAGTGAACACTTGACAAGGGACACCGAGGAAGCAGTGCACACCAATGAGATGGGCAAATGGTTCATGCCAGAAGATAAAGGACTTAACATACCAGAAGCAGGTACAAATATACAGTAACTTGGAAAATGAAATAATGCCTGAGAAAACAACAGAAAGAGCTAAGAAAACATTACAGAAGAAACACAGAGCATTCAGCAAACCCTCAGAAGTCTTCCTTAACTAGCATAGAAATTTCATATATTTCTAATGTCAACTTCAAAGGAGCAACATTAAGCTTTCTCTTCTGTCCTTTTCTTGCTACCACTCCCACATCAATATTCATTTACACACACACACACACACACACACACACACACACACACACACACACACACACACACACATTGCATTTACATTTAAACAATACAGCTAGCTCATTGATGCAAAGAAATAGAATTCTGCTATGAGAACCTCCCTCTTAGTGCTGACAGGAAGCGAGACAAGTCACACAGCAATTAATGATGCAAAGAAATAGAATTCTGCTATGACAAACTTGTGTTCTGACCACGGTAGGCACCATCCAACTTCAGAGTGAGAACCTCCCTCTTAGTGCTGACAGGAAGCGAGACAAGTCACACAGCACAGGGCGTATGAACAGAGCCCTAGTGGCGACTCCCTACCTTAATGTATGACTGGACGGAATGGTCTAGCTGCTCCTCATGACACTTGGCCACAATGTCAGCAAGAACCCTGGAAAAGCAAGGATGTTCAGTGGCCTGGCTGTTTATGAATACATAAACAGATGCTACTTTACTAGAATACTTGGAAAATGGGGTATTTCGTGAATGAGTGAATGCATGAATAAACCAACATATTCACACTCTTCTCTTGCCATCCTCATACTCCAGCAGAGGGCACTTAATAGATCTCTATCACCTGGGAGTCATTGCCAAACAGAAGCATTCAAAGAACTGACTAAGGTAAGGGTGTAATATCACACTAGAGACATTTTCTCTGATCTGAATGCAGTACTTGTGGTCTCTGCACTTGCTGACATTGTCTTCCTGGAAAAGGGATCATTCTAATTAGGCTCTGATTAATGACCATGTTCCATTTTAAAGGGCTCACCTTCCAACTTGTGAGCAGAAGACCTATTTTTGGAAAAAGCGATTAGGTTAAGCTGTCTATTTCCCTCATTAGCTGGGCTAGGGTTTCATGTAACTGTGGTCTGCTGATACTTTTACAGATTAACACGACCAGTTGCTGCATGGTTGGAGAGCTTTGGGAGATCTCAGAAATTCTAACAGACCCGTAAGCTGCAATACTTAAAAATCTTGTCAATATCAACGGCAAGCTGAAAGGGACATGAGTTGATGGCACAGTTTGGGATTTTTAATCTGGGTCCAGAACTGGCTGTCTGTGGAACTGATACTGATACTTTAATTTCTCAGAACTTGAGGATTTTATGTTAAAAGCCTTTGTTGTAGAAAAGATAAATAATATGCCTCTGAACAAGTAAGATACAATCAATATTTCAATACTGGCTGTCATTTTTCATAACGCTAGAGCTAGTTTTGAAACAACAAATATATGATTAAATTATTAATTCAAAATAATATAAATGCAGAATTTTAAGTTTATGACTAGACTTATTAGTGATGTTGGAAGAGTATGGTGTGACCAAATTTATCACAAAAGAAAGGAAATAGTGTAATTAAAAATTCTATGGAACTATGAAATGATACAACTATTCTTGTAAACATTCTAGCAGTTCCTAAAAAATAATTCTACTGTCCAACCAATGAATTGCATAACCTTTGCATTACTGTGGATTCATGTCAGAGGTAAAGTATTAGAGTTATGTTTACATAGGATTTACATATGAATATTTATAGTGACTTTATCTATTATAGCCCCAAATGGGAAAAAGTCAGATGTCTTTCAACAAATGAATCCTTGAACATATTGTGATTCAATCCATATCATAGAATACTACTCATTCATGAAAAGAAGTGTCCCAGTTATAGATGGACAACCTGGGTGAATTTACAGAGAATTGTGATGAAAAGCTAATGCCAAATGCAATTATTGTATACTGTATGATTTCATATATACACAGATAGGTGTGTGTGTGTGTGTGTGTGTGTGTGTGTAGTATGTGCTGACAGTGGGGGAGACTAAGTAGTGAGTACACTTATTCTCTCCATATTATCCCCTTTAACTGCTTATGAATCTATAATTATGTCAAAATAAAGTGTTCAAAACAAAAGAAAAAAATTAGCTAATGATAATAGTCAGGTATCACAAAACAAGGGTTTGGGAGAAATGGTTTAAATCTGAAAAGTATGTTCACATGAAACGTACACAAATGTGGCTATTGAGTCAGAATCATATCATCTGGGTTCTGACTGACTCAAGGTTGCAGAGTTTGTTCCCTCAGGGTTGCTATGGATACCTGGTGACGGTTGCACTGATTTCATCTTCCTCGTTCTGCACTAGAATTTTGAAGAGCTGATTCAAGATGACGGGCAGGAAGCTCATGATCGAGTGGATCTTGTCCACATTTAATAGGTTCTGTAGTGAATTGATGGGAAGAAATGTAAATAAACACGGGAGAAGCAGTCTAGCACAATCTGCTGGTGTTTTCAGGCATGTGACATGGTCATAAGATCACGTGATCATCATAGCTCCCACTTATCTGGCCATTAGCTTTCCTGCCTCACTGTGGCAGGTGTAGGTCATGTTGAAAGGATCTTCTTAATTAGCAATGGTAAATACATTTTAATTTTTAATTATTTTTGTTTAGGATAAAAAGCTGATCTTGCCTGGGCAATCTATGGGGCCTCTAGTAGTGGATCAGTATTTATCCCTAGTGTACGAATGGACTTTGGGAACCCATTCTCCATAGAGGAATACTCTCTCAGCCTAGACACACAGGGGAGGGAGGGCCTAGGCCCTGCTCCAAATGATGTGACAGACTTTGAAGATCCCTCGTGGAAGGCCTCACCCTGCCTGGGGAGCAGAAAGGGGATAGGATATGGGGCCAGTGGGGGGCTGGGGAGGAGGGGAGGGAGAGGGAACTGGGATTGACATGTAAAACAAGCTAGTTTCTAATTTAAATAAAAAACCCCTATCTTTGCCTTTTTTTTTTTTTTTCCTGTGGAAAGTATGAAGTAAAACTTGTTTGCTCCCTGAACACTAAGGTCTTTTTAAAGTCCTTAATAATCATCACTTCTTAGTTTGCTCTTCAGTGGAAAACAGGTTTTCTTTGTCAGTTTCTCCCCAGCAAACCAAGTACACGTATATGCCGTGTTACCTTACAAGCTCGGACAAAACTGGAGGTAGGTGACTGGGACATGTCTTTTTCTCTTTTTTGGCACTGGTGGAAAAATGCATTCACATGCGGGTCCTGCAGAGGCAAGAGAAGTGCTTATTTGTGGTGGTGCACAAACTCAGAGCAAGAGCTAGGGCGGCAAGCACTTCTAAGCAGCGTTTCCCCCTGGAATCTGACTCAGAGCCCTCTTCTTTCCATAGACATTGAGGTCAACTGCAGGCCCCAACTGAACCATTGTACTCTGGATGATGATGGCCCCTCCCTTTCATCCTCATAGTTCTCCCATCCCTCTTGGCCAAATAACCTGGCTAGAGAATGACAACTCTTGGCTGCCTGCCTGCCTGCCTCCTTTCCGCATTCCTTTCTTCTCTCCCTTCTTACCTGCCTCCTTACCTTTTTATATTTTTTCTTCCATCCCTTTATTCTTCCTTTCCCTCTCTCTCTCTCTTTCTTCCTCCCCCCCACTCCTGTGTTCCTTATTTTTCCAGTCCACATGCCAGAGAACTTTATAAATCTCTTACATAGTCTATGACACAGGACACCATGCTGGTTTTTTTTTTTTTTTGACATGTCTAGGGCTATTTCTGGGTTTGATGGGTATGTATCAGCCTGGTATTTAAACACAACAAAAAGCTTGACATAAACCCCAAGAAATGTTGGTTTTGATCTGCCGAAATCTACTTGGAATTTCTCCAGATTCTGAGCTGAGTGATGTAGTCAAGCAAAGAAAGAAAGTTTGAGTTTGGGAATATATTTGTGATGTTTCTCTGGCAGTACATTCTAGATGGGCATCTGGCATGGATTTTCCTTATACTAGCATTTGAGTGAGTGAGGTTTCTGTTTCCTATTTGTAGTTTATTTCTTAACTGGAGACAGTTGTTTTCCTCTTAGATAGACATGGCCCCTTCAGCTATGGGCTGCCCACTGTGACAACGTGACCAGTGTCATTCCACATGCACCTATTTATTCCCAACTAGAGAAGTACTTCACGGTAAAAGCAAGACATCATCTGGGCAGGTTAAAAGACAGCTTGGAATTGTCCGTAGGTTCAGGGAGCCAGGAAGGCTTAGGAGAAGGGGCAGTTGATCTAAGATCTGAATGATCAGGGTGAGTTGAGCAGATGGATTAGCAGAAGGCAGGGACAGGTGCCTTCCTCCCTGGCTGAGGAAGGGTGAGTGTCAAAAACATTTTGGGAAGGTTAAAGGAGTGTAGTATGGGTTGGAAGCCACAATGTGGGAAAGTCTTGAACCTTTGAAAGCAAGATGAGGTGTGCTTAATCAGTTATGGGATCCAGGGGATCAAAGTTTTCTTGAAACACTGAACTTCATTAATTTTGAAGCCATATCTGTGAATCTTTATTTGTATTGTCTCTGTGCTTATCTCTACATGTTACCTGGATTGTTCAATTATTCTTAGGCACCAAAATGTGGTTGAGATAAAACAGTATGAAACAAACAAAAAAAGCTGCCCTGCAGCAGAAAGAGGAAGCTTATAATTTAACAATTATGCATGTGTAGACAGTACGTGATGGCTCAGGAATTACTTTCACACGAATTTTCTTCCTTTTCTTCCATCACAAGGTTATGTAGTGATATTTTATGTATACCATTTTCTGGATGAGGACTTAAGAACCACAGAGGCCAAAGTGACTTGTTCAGTCACCAAGCCAGCAACTGGCCAAAGTGACTTTCCAGTGATGTCTATCTCATGGTCCTGGGTAGGCATTAGAATTAGACTTAGTTTTGGGGTAAACGCCAAAAGTGTTTTTACAACTGAACAAGTTCTAGATCTGGTAAGCAGAAGGAAGTCATACTATGAGTGAATGGTAATATACTAAATACACTTCTGCATTTTGGCCTCAAGTTTTTTGAGTCAAGGAGTTAGGGCACTTTGATTATTTCAAAAGAGGTGTAAAATTATATTTTAAGTATCTTTCTTGACTCATGACATGATATGTTTCTCCCTATACACACAGGAGTCACCATCCTATTTTACACCATCGTCTATGTCTCTGTTGTAGGACACAGTACTCACCTGAGTGTTCACTGTTGACACAACAAATGTTGACACTTTGAAAAGTGGTTTGCCGCCATCCACCCATTTAATGTCGCTTCCACCCTGCTGCAAGAAAGAGTTTGCTACCATCACTGACAATGGGAGATAAGGAAACCAAGTCATTTAGTTTATGCTAATTTGCTCTTCCGAAGCATTACCCCCTCAATGCTCTAGATATGAGAAAATGGGCAAATTCATTTGGACGTTTTGGAGGTGAGTCTGACATACTTTCATGGAATCATTCTTTTTAAATGCTTCATTTTTAGTGGCCACAAATAAAATATGAATTGGATTATTGTAAGTTAACTTCATATCTGCAATGGACACAATCACTATCATGTTAGTTTAAATAGAGGAAAAAAGATAGCCTTGTTTCATAGCTGAGCTTTAAAATTTTTTTCTTGGAAATTATACACTACTCAATACCTTTCCACTTGTAGAATCTTGAATGCTTAAATAATTAGGAGGCAGGGTGGTTGTTATCGGGATATTATACTCCTGAGAAGCTATTTGATCATGTTTCATCAGAGGAAGCCAAGCATATCCCACTGCAAAGAAACAACATGGAGAAAGTTTTGAACATAAACCTCTATGCTAAGAAGTACAAATACACCATTTGTCACTATAAACATCAGCTTCATTTAAGAATCAATAAAGCATGTCTCTTCAAAATGGTCTCCAACTCAAGTTAAAACATATGCCACCTTGACCCATTTCAGGTCACTTCTTGTAAGTACCTGAAGTCTCCAGAGACTCTTTCTTTTTGGCATTAGCTTTGGCATTGATGTCACATGTGATGTGATAAAAGGAAAATAAAAGGTGGTGTTTTTCATGGAGTTGAGTTGGTAGCTCAATTTTCACCTGCAATGAAAGACATCACATTTGGATTGAGATTAAAATAATTTATTTAACATTAGCACAAGTGTGCAATTTAGGTTCATGTTTAGTCAAAACAATTCAACTCTCAATAAATATCCAACTGGCTGGCTGTAATGTATTAATAAGTTGTTTTTACATCTTACTGTGGTAGACGATAATTTAGATGGTGTAGTACTTCTTGTTACACGATTGGTGTTTCTAGAGTATGGATTCTAGAACATTCACCAGCAGAACTACAGAGTGTAGGAAGACAAGCATTAACAACCTCCATAAATTATGTAAACCGAAAGTTGTGTCCTCCAGAGGATGCTCGTGGTCATGGGATTAAATGGATGCTTGCCTGTTAGGCATTCAGAATCTCAGACACTGCCCCAGAATCCAAATCTGCATGTTAGTAAGGTACCCAGGCAATTCATGTGCACATCACTGAGAACTGTGGCTGTAAACAAGGTAACTGGAAGCCTGTTCTCTATCTCTCTAAAATACAACACAAAAGTATGAAATGACTTTTGTCATAGCAAGCAATGTGTCATTTTATAAAACTGTATTGAAGGTTTACTAATGATGCTTCTGATTAAACACAAATTTAAAACATAAATGTGACATGGGTTATTCCATATTTCTGGAAAGAAATGGTTTGAAATAACCATCTACATTTTACAGGACCTTTCTAATTTAGGTTTCAAAGCCCTGTAACATGCATTCAATATCCCTGTTGTCTTGTGAAGGGACAAGACAGAGGTGGGACTCAAGGCCAAAGATACTGGGGGCTCTGGGTGAGTAAGAGATGGTAGAGTTAGTAACAGGTTTTCAAGACAGTTCTATGCCTTCTGATGATTCCTGTACACCAGGATTCCAGGAGCCTGTCCAGGTAACCTGCACTTAGCTTTCTGAGTCACTAAGTTGTTCTGAGAATAGTCAAGCGAAGCAATAACTAATACCCATAGATTATTAATTTGATGTCTTGGGTATCTGGCTGGTTTATTTTCATTCTGTTTTTTCAAAAGATTTTATTTATTTATTATGTATACAACATTTTGCTTCCATGTATATCTGCACACCAGAAGAGAGCACAGGATCTCATAATGGATGGTTGTAAGCCACTATGTGGTTGATGGGAATTGAACTCAGGACCTCTTGAAGAGCAGTCAGTGCTCTTAACCTCTGAGCCATCTCTCCAGCCCTATTTTCATTCTGTTTAAGAAATGACATTTCACAGTGTGGTCCCTGCAATGTTAGCATGGTTGTCACCTGGAACCATAAAATCTCGAACTCAACCCAGACACGCTGAAAAACTGAATCTAAGTATTCTGTTTCAATGAGTCTTCCAGATAGTTCTGATGTATGACATAGTTTGAGGATCCTTGGATTTTGATGAGTTACAAACTGATATTTTATTTATATAACAGTGTACTAATATAGCTACAAAAGCCAATAGACAATTCTAAATCCATAAGAACAAGCAGAACACTAGAACATTTCTTTTTAGCGAACTTCAAGATTACATAGCAATGCACCAAGTGTTCAAGAATTCCAGTTAACTAAATGGTAATGAAAGCATTGATCTCTTAGGGTTTCCATTGCTGTTATAAAATATCATAACCAAAAACAACTTGGGGAGAAATGGACTTATTTAAGCTTAAAGTTCCATGTCATATTCCATTATCAAAGGAAGTCAGGCAGAAACAAAGGCAGAGTAAGAACCTCATGGCAGGAATCAAGTCTGTTTGCTGGCTTGCTCTTCCTGGTTTGTTCAGACTACCTTCTTACAGCATCCAGAACCATCAGCCCAGGGGAAGTCCTGCTCACAGTGATCTGGGTTACCCAATATCACTCAACAATAATAAAATAAAATATACCACAGGCTTTACCACAGGTAAATCTGGTGGAGGCATTTTCTCAATTGAGGGTCACTCTTCTAAAATGACTCTAGCTTATGTAAAGTTGACATAAAACATGGCTTCACAAACCCTCACTTTAAAAATCCTGCAAATAGTTACATTTTATTATAACAATGCTTTGGATAACTTATACCCACTTTAAAGTTAATGCAATCATTTCCCCTGTAATCAAGAAAATAAAATGTTTGTATTATATCTGTGCTGCAAAGATCCCTAAGTGATTAATAATCTACATGCCATGTGGAAAAGCTCATAGGTTTTATGAGATTCCAGGAAATACAAGAAAATAAAAAAGATTAAAAGTCAGACTTAACAGCATTGAGACACTGAGAACACTAATTTATGAAATTCTCACGTCTATAAAAAATGCTCTTTCACACGAGTTTTGTCAAAAGGTCAATCAATATGGTAGATATTCTGTAATGTGACAATAACTCCTTCCCTTAGCCTTTTCTTTTCTTTTTTAACCCTATGAGCTGGATTGATGGAGGGAAAATAAGAGTGCTAAGTAGATATGGAAGTAGGAGGTAAGGTCAGGGAATTCTTTTAATTAGTTTGAAAATGGCAAATGTATCGCATGGATGGTGGACAGAGAATGGCTCCCAAAGATGACTCTCTGTTCTAAAACCCAGAATCCATGAACATGTGACTGTGCAAGGCAAAATGAAGTTCAAGATAGGATTATGGCAAGGAACTTGAGATTACATCAGATATTACAAGTGGGTACAACCTGGTCACCTCCCTCCCTCCCTCCTCCTTTGCTTTTATTTCTTCCCTCCCTTTCTTTTCCTTCCTTTTCAGAAAGGATCCAACACCTCACCAGGGTCTTGAACCCTCTAGATAGCAAAGGATTATCTTGAATTTATGACCCTCCTACCTCTACTTCCCAAGGGCTGTGATCACAAAACCCAGTTGTATGTCTCGCTAGAAATATGACCCAGGGCTTAATGTATGCTAGGTGAACATTCATTAACTGAGCTGCATTTCCAGTTCCCCCATGGTCCTTTTAAAAGATAGGCAGGAGAGGAGTCACAAGCCAAGGTGTGAGGTGGTGTTTAGAGGATGCAAGAGGTAAGGAAACAGATCTTCCTCTAAAAGTTTCTAGAGATCATACTGCCTCACTGACGGCATTATTTCAGTCACATGACAGCCAATCCAGACCTCTAGCCTCCAGAGCTGTTAAGGGTGTGCATTGTTTTAAGCAACTAAAGGATGCTAATTTGTTATAGCATCATAAAGGGACTCTTACAAAGTCTCAGCTAGTTGTAGTAGTTCAGATCTTTGTCTTATGGTTAGAAGCTGGAATTAACCACTGAAACTTGCCTCAGGCTGTTTACAACACAGCAAATACATGTGCAGCAACTTACCACTAGACAAGTGACATTTTCTATGAGTTACAGGAAGTGGGAACTTCTATCTGGAGTTATATGGCCTGGTTTGAATGCTAACTGTCCCTTTGTAGTTCTATGACCCTGGCAAAGTTACTTGAGCCATTGTACCCTCATCTATATAACAGGAGGTTGTAACAGTGCCAGATTCTAAGAGCTTTGGAGGAGTTAAATGAGATGATGCCTATATGCTTGATGTACAATAAAAGTGTTGAATTTCCCAGGGCAAGTCACACTTCTAATCATGAGATGAGGGGACTGAGCCCAGTGAAGTTCATGCAGGTATGAGCAATAGTGTGAATTCTTCACATCTAGTCTTCCTGCTATAACATGGTAATGCTCCTACCGATTGGTAAAGTTTTCTAATATAATCTTTATTAAAAATTTCCCATAAAATAAATGAGAAAAAATAGTCTCATTTGAAAAGAAAGATTAAAATAAAACCATCATTTTTTGGAAGGTCAGTCTTGTACTCAACTGCAGGAGTTTGCAATGTACACCAGGATTATCACCAGCCAGTGTCACTTCAGTCAGTGCCACTTTAGAGTCTTGGGATGTGTAGTCAACTGTCCTCAATTTGAGATGTGGTCTAGACAAGATTTTCCTGACCTGCTCACCCATGAGTCTTAGGTAGAGGCTGTGGGGTCCTGGTCCTTACCTCATCGGAGAAATCTGGATTTTGAGAATGGTGCAGCACAGCTGTGTAGGCTGCTGAAGTGAAGAGCGGCCCTCCCGGTTTTCCGTAAATACACTGTTTAGAAAGTTATGAGGGAAACAATCGTGAGAGCCTGAAAATATTCCCAAGTGAAAAAAGTCAATTCTTCAGTTCCCAATTCCAGAACACTTTGTGACTGACTTCCTAGGATGACATCCAGTTAACTTTGAATTCATTGGCACATTGTTCTGTGTGTACTATGCCAAGAGACATCAAAGGACATCTTAAAAGCTTGTATTTATCTCATAGGTATGGCACGTGGTTTAAAAACTGAACCAAGTCACTGTATGACTTTTGATTGCCATAAATATGAATTAATGTTCAAGACAGATCCCTTAAGGATGATTTCCTGACAGAGTTAAGGTCCTCAGGCTTGGCTGGACCTCAGTTCCATGTAAACCAATTCCTACTCATGAAGGTAGAGGTAGCAGCTTTTGATCTCAGCCTCTGATCAGGCCAGAGGACTGCATAGGCTTTCATGAATCACACCGGTCAGAGGACACATATGTCTGGAGCTCATGACTTCTCTTCTAGTCTTAGATCTGGTCATGTGATGTCGCTGGGAGGTGTTAATAACACAATGAAGCAGGGAACCCACACTTGCTGTTGCCCTCCTTCCCTGCTCTGGCAGGCCTGCTGTGCTTCCCACCTGGTCATTGTCATGTTTGCTTAACAATGCTATTACATGCTAATTTTTCTCTCCTGATACTAATGTTGTTAAAAGCTCAGTTGGTATGGATGCTCACAGTGGCTCAAGATTATCTTGAAGAATGCCTCCCTATCCCACATTCTTAAATTCAACCCCACTCTTTGGAATAAGACTACAAATTCCCTGCTAGCATGAATCAAAGTATGATTTATACCTGACGGTATTATGAGAAATAGCCTGAGGCAATGGTAGGATTAGTTAGACACTATCTTGGTCCTTCACTATCTCCTCCTTGTGATTTACTGCAACGTAGAAGATGTGACCATAGACTTAGTACAAATAGCTTTCCTCTTTATTTTTATAGGCTATTTTTTTATTTGATACCCTTAAAAAACAGTGCATATCATGTATGAACTCTAGAAAAGGCAATCCAGTTAAAGTTTTATAGATCAAAATAGTGATATCATTAACTCATGTGTTCAACAATGTGAGTTGCCTTTTTAGAGCCATTTTCTAGTCTCCTGGAACTTGGCTCCATAAATGTGAGCTTTGTGGAGGCACCTTGCATTAACCAACCATCCTGCTCATAAATATGAGCTCTCTGGGGACATCCTGCATTAACCAATAAGCCAGACTATAGTAGCCCTTCTATGAAGAGAGCATGAAGGCTGGCTGCACTGCTACAAATGAAGCAAGCTGAATCAAGAGGTGGACTATTTTATGCAACCTCTTCACGGGGAATTATTGTATTTATTTCACATTATAATGACTTCCCTTTTTCCAAATCATGAGGCAAAGAGCTGTGGGAGACTATTGTTTCTGATAGACAGGGTCAGGGATGACTGTTAAGTCACATACATTTTCAGGCAATCTAAAACAACTGCCTGAAATTGCTCCTCATTTAACTATACTCATGTAAAAATCCCCCAGTGGTGTAAAGGACTAAGGTGCCTGCCTTGCCTTTCATGCTGTGTCCCCAGTTGACTTGACTCACCTTCATGGGCTTGGCACCATCTTCATCAGAATTTTTGAATTCAATGCACACAGTTATATTTCGTGCCTGAAATTATAGTGAGGGGGGGAAATGGAGATGGTAATTTCCTCTTAAATAGCACCCCAAATAACATAAGAGCCTAAAATAAGTAGCTTCTAATTAAATCTGAAAAAAAATGCAGAATAACCAGCATTGTCTTATGACATTATTCATGGTCCTCAGAAACAGCAGGATTTGGAGAGATTTTTAAAGGAAGCAAAAAAGCTCACAGTATAGGACTAAGCCTGCTATTTTCAGAGTATTATAAGAAACTATAAAAAATGGTCTAGATCAAATTTATGTCAGGCTGATTTTAGAAAGGATTATTAATGTATTACACAACCATGCATCTTCAAACAATTCAGAGATGAACAACTATAAGATAACCGAGGTGGAATATTTCTTTACACTGTGTGAAGATGTGATTGGCTTAATAAAGAGCTGAATGGTCAATAGCTAGGTAGGAAGAGGTTAGGTGGGACATCTGGGGACAGATAGGTCTCGGGGAAGAAGAAAAGTGGAGTTGCCAGCCAGATGGAGAGGGAATAAGGCATGCAGGAGGAGAGGTGAAAGCCACGAGTCACATAGCAGCACTTAGATGAATTGAAATGGGTTAATTTAAGTTGTATGAGCTAGTGGGACAAGCCTAAGCTAGAGGTCAAGCTTTTAGAATTAATAATAAGTCTCACTTTTTTTTTGTGAGCTGGTGGGCCCAGATAACTCTTTTGTAATACTTCAAGATGCTGAAAAAGCATTCATCTTTAAATAATCCTAAAGTGAATTCTAGGATGAACCCACCCTTGGCTACGCATTTCCTTCAAGTCTGGGCTCATAGTTATTTGAAGCTGCTCTTTTAAGAAGCATCTTGTGTCATCTATATACAGTGAACTGAGAAGTTAATGCATCAGAAATGTGTGCCATACCTTGTTGAAGCATTTCTGGCTATCGTACTTGAGGTGTTTGGGGTAGACATAAATTTGATTTTTGTATACTCTGTATGGACGGCAATACTTTGTTGAGTCATAAATAAATTCTTCCACCTCCACTGTAGGTTCTGACTGAGCCATCACGTTGAAAGGCTTGACAGGGATAAAGGACGATGTTACACAGTCTTAAAAAATCAGAAAATGAGAGTTTGTCATTTAATATGGATCTTCTAAAGTGAGCAACACTTAACATATTTTAAGGTGAATCTATTTAAAAGGGAAATTTGCTATTAAACTACCAGAGCATGAAAATGTGAGATGGGGACATTGGGTTTGAGAAAGTTAGGTGTTTAGTGTTAAAATTCATGGCTAAGAGACATGGAAAGTCTTTGAGATTGATTTATAATTTTTTATAAAGTTTCCTGTATATAGAATATACTAGGTAGACTTTTAAAGATAAGGCATAACCCACTGACCATCACTTGCTATTATAAATAAAAAATACATATTATTGCATAGCAGAATAAAGTTATTCAGTGGGTCTATTAGTTATAGTAACAGATGAAATAATAGTAATTTTTCATATATGGAATGATTTTACAGCAAGTGTCTAAAGCTCTCAGTACATTTAAAATTTTACCACCTTTAAAAATCTAACTTTGTAGCAATAGCCTAAGAAAAAATAAAGATGGTTAGGAATGTATAAGTCAAAACTTCTGTCATTACACTCTTTGACGGAGGAAACTGCCATGTTGAAAGAGAAAAAGGCCTGCTGCTTATTTTTTTTCCATAAAGTACATTCATAGACTGAGATAAAGCAAAGTGATGGGCTACATAACCTTGGGAATCAGATGATAATTCTAATATTTAATCAGGAGTCACTTATAATGTTTTTGTTATATTCTCCAATTTCTCTAATACTCTAGCATTCTTTCAAAGAGAGTATTTAGCCTTCTATTGTGTTGTCTTTTCTCTAAGTAATAAAGCCTTGTTCCCTAAATCACATGGAGGAAATGGCTTAGTTTGTCCTCTGCTATTTGCCATCAATCAATGTGAAAATGATTTGGAGTCAGAATTTAAGTTAGAATTCTCATTATAATGTTTTTTTCGAGACAGGGTTTTTCCGTGGCTTTGGAGGCTGCCCTGGAACTAGCTCTGGTAGACCAGGGTGGTCTGGAACTCACAGAGATCCGCGGGCCTCTGCCTCCTGAGTGCTGGGATTAAAGGTGTGCACCACCACTGCCTGGTGAATTCTCATTATAATTTGTACTAAAATGATTTGTGGAAACTTATGGATGGCCATCCTAATATTACCTGTCTGTAGTCTCTACCAGTCATCATTTATTACAAGAAAACTTCTTTCTGCATTTGGAAACCCCCACCATGTTCCAGATAAGGTGGAAATTCTATGTAATAACTTTTTAGTCATGTAGGTGGCTGTGCCCAGTGCCTGAAACAACTTGTTGTCAGTGTGGTATGGCAGAACTAGTCTATACTCGAGTCAGGGAAACTAGACAGAATTTCAATTCTCTAACTGTTAGCTATTTGTATCATGAATGACATAAACCCAGAGACAGATATTGGTGTCCAAGCTGAAGATCAGAAAAGCAAAGCAGCCAGCTAGTAGCTCTTACCTCTACCAAGGCTGAAATGGAGATCATGTCTTCCCTGTCACTGGAAACTAAGTCTCACATGAGAGCCTTTGCTTCTTCCTTATAGACCTCTCTAGTGCTGGGATTAAAGGTGCGAGCTTTGCTACTCTTTTAGACTGACTCACTCTCATGTATCCCTGGCTGGCCTTGAACTCAGAGAGATTCATCTGCCTCTGTCTCCTGAGTCCTGGGATTAACAGTGTTTGCCATTACTGCCCAGTTAACTAGTGTGACTGGCTTTGCATTCTGATTCCCAGGCAACTTTATTAAATCATAAACAATAAACTATGTAACCACAACTATTCATCTGCTTGAGCCTGACCTTCCTCATAACACTCTAGGGTTTTAAGGATTATGTGAATACTTTAATATTTGCTGTATGTTAAATATTTGTATAGCAGAAAATAGTTAAGCTATCCAGGATATAGTTTTTATTATGAACTCATTTGTTTGTTTCAATGGACAAATAAGTCCCAGATTCCTATAGTATAATAAGTTACTTTCCATTTTGGAAGACAAAAATCTCCAAATGACCCAAATCTTGGGATCAACCAGTTAACTGACAAACCAACAAAACAACCAAATAATCTCCCACAAGATACTCAGAAGTCTCTAAATGAACTGTGACATCAAGGACATGGGCATCATACTTGGCTGCTCCAAGGGAATGTTGTCCACCACAATATCCAGGCTTCCAGGGATGGTCTGCATTTTGCCTATCCGGTCAGCTCTGTGAAAGGATATCAAACACACACACACACACACACACACACACACACACACACACACACACACACACACACACACTATTATTTTCATGTTCAAAGAAAACCCATTTTGCACTATAATTCTGAGCTTTCAGAAGGGTAAAGAGTAATGGTATATTGATTGCCTCCCCTCTTTGGTTAGTTTGATTCCTGTAAAAAATATATGCTGGTGTAAATAAAAACAAAATTCGGGAAGGAATCTAAAGTTACAGATATTATTTTCTCTGACTTCACTTGTACATGTGGTCAGATGAATATAATAGCAAATAATATGGTCTTGTCAGTAAGATTTATTTGAATTTGCTTAAGCATTTCACTGTCAAAGTGAGTTTGAAGAATTTTTCAGGCCAAAGTTAGTTTTTGCTGCAGTTGCTAAGAGTTTGTTTATCCTTCTTCCATAACAAAGAACTGACTACTTCTAGGTATCCTTTCCCTCTCCTATTGTCCATCACTCTTTGACTCTGGGGTTCTGTTTCCTTCCTTGTTTCTTTGATGGTTGAAGAACCTTTAGGAGGTGGAGTCTTGCTAGAGGAAGGCAGTGACTGGGGACAGGCATTGGAGTTCCCTTCACTGTGCACCTCTGCGTCCTGACCGCAAATGCAATGTCACCAGCTGACAATGCTCCTGCCATTATGCCATCTGTGCCACAGATAACTATATCCCCTAAGAGCATATAGCCAAAGTAAACCCTCTTCTCTTCAGTTGTTTTTGTCAGATATTTGGCCACATCAGTTGGAAAAATAACTCATACACACACTGTAATTAATTATTATTAATTTTTAAATTTAATTATATTTTGTTTTTCGAGACAGGGTTTCTCTATGTCACAGTCCTGGCTGTCCTGGAACTCACTCTGTAGACCAGGCTGGCCTGGAACTCACTCTGTAGACCAGGCTGGCCTGGAACTGTAAGATTATTTGAGCCCCATCTTTTCACCTCTCTTCCCAGCTCCATGTTCAGTGAACTGCATTGGTGGCTTGAGATCAGCAATGACAAATTTATACCACGAAAATTGGCCACCAGGAGAAATCAGTTTTGATTAATGCCAGCACTGCTGTGTGTATTCTAGGTACCCCTCACATGCCATTTACACTTTCTTTTTGTTCACTGACAACATGGGGTCTGTCAGTGTTTGTTTTGTTGGTTGTTGTATCAGTTTATTCCCAAATCTTTTCATGTTCCATTCTGCTCATCATTACAGCTATTCGAGTCTTAGAAAACTGTCAAAAGGGCAAAAGGAAAAGCCCTTTTTATTTTCTCATAGTAACTTGAGGAGCCTTGTGAAGACCTGGCTACAGGTTTTGACCAGGATTTTTGATGAATGAAGGGAAGAAATGTCCCTTATATTACTCTGTCTGGACTATATAGAATTAAGATGAGTACAGGGTCTTGCCTAAAAGTCTACTTCTCATCCCAATTGTATGTTCTAATAACTTCCATAATGACGATGATGATAGATAAAACATCCCTTCTTTTTAAATAGATACAAATAATTTACTGATGCTGCGGAAGATATTGGCCACACTTGTTTGAATATAAAATATTTTTGAGGGTTATATAAAATTAGTTGACAAGAGACTATTGATTCTTAGGCAGGTGAAACAAAACCATTATCAAGGCTAAGGAGTACAAGAACACTCTGGGTATTAGAGGTTAATAGTGTAAGATAAATTGTATAATAAGGGCATCTACACATCTCAAGAAGAGGCTCCCGTGGGGAAGAAGAGGATTCTCCAGTCCCAACTGACCTCTGCCAGCCAATGTCATGTGTGGAAGAGATAAACTGGAGCCACAGGGTCAGAGGTATCATAAACAATGCTATTTCTGGATACTGAGTTTTGGGGATGGGTTGTCACACAACTATAGATGAATGACATAGACCAACATGGTATAACACTTCTGTACAATTCTGGCAAACGGACTCTTAGGGCACAATTTAGATGAAAGGGAAGTTACCAGACAGCCATCTGTGTCCAGACATCTTTCGGGAGGTGTCTGGACAGTTGAGATTCAGGGCAGCAGGTGTTATGGAGAGAGGAGAAGCCAGTGTAGGTTACTTAAAGGGGCATCCAGAAAATCCTACCGTCTGTAGTCCGATACCAGTTTGAGCAGGTCCTCAGCTGAAATCTTGCTACTTTCTTGTCTGTACAATGGTGAAAATCTTGAGTCTCTGTCCACATTTCCCTGGTTGTCCTTGAATACAGATCTGTAGGAAAAATAATGTTTATTGGGGCTTATATTGTGTTACTGTTTAAGAAATTGTTTTTCTAAGGAGGATAATTAATGGCCATTTTAATTTATGACTGAAAGAACTCAAGGGACTTATCAAAATAAAAAGACACCAGTTCTTAGGCAGAGCTTTTACTAATACACACCACATTTTTGTCACATTCTTCATTTTCAACTGTGTATCTAAAGTGGGAACAGTTCCTGCTACAACTGTTGTTATGTTGTCTCTCATTTATCACCATATCAAAATCTTGGAGTATTGGGGAATTGAGAAAAGCAGGAATATATTCATTTTTGAATGTGTGTTTATGCTGGTGAAGTTGCACTGGTGTGTGTGTGTGTGTGTGTGTGTGTGTGTGTGTGTGTGTGTGGGGGTGGGAGAGGGAGAGAGAGAGGGGGGGGGGAAGGAGAGGAAGAGAGAGAGAGAGCCTCTCACTGGATTGAAACTCACCAAACTAGCTAGGCTGGCTGGTCAGTAATCTTGAAGTACCCACTGTGTCTGTTTCCTCTATGGAGGTATGGCTATAGCCATGCACCATCGTGTCCGGTTTTTTTAACCTAGGTTCTGTCGCTCAAACTCAGGGCCTCATGTTCCCAAGGCAAGCATTTCACTGACTGAGCTATTGTCTAAGGACCTCTTTAAACTGTTTGCTCAAGGCACCCTAATGTGGGCAAGAAGGGGCCACTACACTTTGGGTGCCGTCATTAGGATTTATGAAACAAGGATCAGGTTGTAGCTATGACTGTGGAACGAAGGTGAGATTCTTAAAATGCCTTTGTGAAGCTAACCAAGCCCATGTTCTAACTTTTCAGACAGAAAGAAAGATTAAAATGCAGGAAATATGAGTCAGAGTTTTGCATTAAATAAGGCTAACATTATATTGCTTCCCTCCTTGGTTTATTTCATGGGAACTATGACACCTTACTTAGGATACATAATTGCTCTTATCTGAGTTATGAAGCAAGGTCAGGCAATATTGGCTTCACATGCACTTCGCTGATGTCAGCCCCAACCCTTACTTACTATGCATCAAAGAAAAATTCAGCCCACATATAATTGCTTTTTCTTCAACCTCAGAGAAATGTTGGATTTTTATTCCTTCTAGTTTCAGAGCCTCAGCTAGAATATTTTATCATTTAAATGAATCAAGTATTTTAATGAAGTAGCTGAAATGACTTTGAAAATGATATCAGTCATAGACTTTTAGTGTAAATTAACATAAAAGGGGGAACATGGGCTAAAAATGTATTGAAATGATATTTTTAGATGCTTTGAAATTGTCTTCTTCCAGTTTCGTTGTAATTCTTGTTAAGTAGTAAGTGAGGGGAAAAAAATCTCTCCTTGATAAAGTTTTAATGCAATAGCAACAGGAAATAATAACAAAAACATCTAACTCAGAGAGAGAGAGAACTCAGCAGGCAAAAGCACTTGCAGCCAAGCCTGCCCGCCAAGTTCAGTTTCTAAGGCCCACATGGTAGAAGGAGAGAGCCGGCTTCTGTACAGTGTCCTCCGAACTCCACATGAGTGCTGAGGCAAGCTGTGAATACCCTCCCCTGCCCCCACCCCACAAAATTAATACACAAAAATCTAATAAGAATTTCAAGGCATTTAACTTAAAATGACTTTTGCATAAATATTTAATCTGTGTGAGCCATAAACTCCATTTTGCTCATATCCACAGCTGTTTTGTGGCAAGTCCTTCACTTGGAAGGGCCACTCATGAAGTGTAGTGCAGCCTGAGATCTTCAGTTTTGATCATTCTTCATCACTCCCTCAAGTGCTAAGGGCAGGGCCATATACCATCATGTGGGATTTAGACATTTCTCTTGTGTGTGGATACAGCAGATGAAAGACGAAAGTGGTTGCTAGGGCCCAGCATGGGCACACAACTACGATCTCAGTACTGGGCTAGTAAAGACAACAGGAGGACCGGGTATTCAAAGCCATGATGATCTACACAGACGGATCTGTCTCAAAATAGAAAAAAAAAAAACCACCTCACCAAGGATGTAGTTCAGTAGTAGAACATTTGCCTAGAATTCATAAGGCAGAAAAAAAAGTAAATTGTTTGAATGACATATAAATGAATTATCTAATAATAATAGAACTATAAAAAGACAGAGAAGGACCTGGTGAGGGTATACAAGGAGCTTTGTCACTGGAAGGTGCACGTAGGGGTGGACCACCTTGTTGGGATGTTGTCAGCATGAGAATCTTAGATACTGCTGCCTTGTGCATCTTAAGATGTACAGACAAGAGAATGGAAATTAATGTTAGTCCTGATCAATTTTAAAGAAAATTGAGCACTGTCTGTTAGTCATTTATAAGTTAATATGAGACAAATCCTGGCATGGACTTGGGCCCCTATGATCTTGCAGGTGATATGTATGGAAACAGTTCAATTGCAGTAGGACATATTTGTAAATTCAACTTCTTTTAGAATTGTTAATTATAAAGTATATTACATAGCGCTCGCTCTCTCTCTCTTCTACACCTATTCAAAAGATAATCTTTTTGCTAAAAGGTGGCAGTACAGCTGGTATCAAATCTGAGAACATACCAGATACATTTCAAATTAGATAGATGCTCACAGCAACGAGATCTGTGTGTACTGCAGCAGCTGGGTGGAAATCTGGTTTCAAGCAACTGAGGATGCTACTATTTTAACTACAATTGCTTGCAAATGTTTTAGGGTACACTCAGAGCTATACTGTGAAACAAACTGCAAGATAGAAAATAAAGCACGAAGGAAAGGCAATGGAGAATAAACAGAACCAACAATGTGTTACCTATGCCCTGGAGCTGGTCTGTTCCAGAGTGATGCCAGTGACAGCTGACCTCCTGAGGGTCCTGCCTATTGTTAGCTTAAGCAATGTTTTCACTGAAGGGTGGGGGAGGGTTTGTTTCTTTGGGCTTGTGCACTTTTCAAGGCTAGATAACACAAATGACCCAACATATGTTCAGTGATTTTTTTTTCCTTCCCTCATTTGCCAGAGCAGCTCATGTAAGTTGAACTCATTGGTGGTGTATACAGCCTACTAGCCAACAGTTACACTATTAACTGAGCCCTAATACAGCAAGGGCTTGTGGTTTCACTAGCTTTCCTTTCCTAGAAACAATTACTCTAAGGGTTGATAACACATTCAGACTCCATGAAAACCTCATCTGTCTTCCTCACAGTTTGTTGACAATTTTAGATTCAGGGTGTTAATTCTAAGTGCCATTCTGCCAGTAATTGACACATTCTTTACTTCTGCCCTCCACACTATTCTTCACTGACCCAAACTGACAAGAAATGGGAGTTGTGGGGCATAAATACGAACTCCACAATGACTTTCAATAATAATAATGAATAAAGAACAGCAATGCATATACCATCTTTTTTTGTGTGTCTACCATTAGTTGTCTCTGTAAAGAAAGGTAGGAAAAGAGAGATAAAATAATATTCATGACATCTTTTGTACCAAATCCTTGTATATCAGAAGTTAACAGAACATATTGCCACCAGACAGGTATTTTCTGCTCCAGTCTACAGATGAGACTAGGGACCCATAGAGGGGCCTTGCTCAGTGAAGGTGGTGACCTACTTTATCAGCTTTGCTGTGCTTTCCAGGTTCAGTAGCCTGGCTCTCCCAGGCTTGCTGCAAGGCTGTCTGAATGCAAGTCAGACCTTGCAGCCTGCAGGGATTTGTCTGGGCTTACCAGTGCTTCTATCCTTCTATCTGCCAGTGCCCAGTTTTAAATAATGACTGTAGCATTCTGACACATACTGGTGGGTTTTCTCTGAATGTGTTCCTCAACGGAAGTTGGGTGAACTGAAGAATACCCAAGAGGTCAACCCTTCCTTCTGGACTCCTTTGGAGTTGAAAGGGCTGCCTTTGAGGTAATGCTGTCAATATTCACCAAGAGGGTGCCTTGTTCTAGGCCTGGAATTACCGCCTTTTAATTCAGTTGGTTCGTTGTGATCCTGATTTGTTTTCCTATGAGCCTATGCTAGGATTTCCCCCATCTAAGGAATTGTTATAGCAATGCAGATGTAATGAGAAGGACAGTTGGAGATGATGTGTCAGTAGATCTGAAAAAGCAAGTTCTGTTTTCCACAGGGCTTCCATTTCTGGGATGGACGGTCTACTACTTGTGTCCCAGAACTCAGCATTTCCACCAGAGTCAACTGGGGATATAACTCTCTGTGGCAAGCAACACTCACATCAAAGTCAGCTTAGGTGATCAACTTGATGGCCTCATTGGACAGTGACATACAGAGCAGAGCTCTATGTATAAATGAAAGCATGCAGGTGGACAGGAAAGTAGGTACTGCCCCTCCTTATCTTATGTCCATTAGGCTCTTGGGATGACCAAACATTGAGTTTACTAAGCCAGTTATGCATAAACAAGTTATGACTTTGATTTGGTACTAAGATCGCCAAGTATATGTGGGACCATGCCCCTATTGTCTGTAGGTCAGAAGCCTTTAGGATAAGCTATCTTGCTGGAATAATTTGTGCAGAGTTGATGATGTGTATGACAATGACACTATGTTAACATTTCTTTAGATGTGGCTCTATTTAAAACAATAGACAACATAAAAACATTCAAAGTCATAGCTTCTGATGCAGATTATAGGCACATGCCTGTTGTGTTAGCTGCAAAGTAGGACCTTACCTCACAGCCCAAGCAAATGGCATTCGGTATTTTCCCAATTTGCTGCAGAACTGCCTATTGGATTTTAGTATTTTTTGTGCAAACTGAGGAAAAAATAAAATAAAATAAAATATTATTTAGGGACAGTCAATTACAAAACATACACGTGAGATAATAAGTTATTCTTTCCATTTTATTATCTACTGAAATTCTATATATTGTTTTCTGACTGGCACACAGCTTACATATGGTACTCTGTGTTCAAGTTATTGTAGAACTCTAGGATTTTTTTTAATTTGAAAATTTGAAGTGTAGAAAATCGCCTAGTCTTGAAATACCAACTATTATCCACTCACCCTGCTTCTCTTCCTCCTTCCTTCCTTCTCCCTTCCTTCCAGTTAAGAGAAAGTAAGATCTTGAATGGAAAGTTCTCAAATTTATATTAATAATTGGTATCAGATCATACTTTTTAATTAAAAAAGAGACTTTTTCTGTGAAGGGCTGCAGGGCCCCTGCCTTCTATGTCACACTTCCCCAGATCTATTGCTATAGCAGGGAGGTAGCCCACAGATAAGTACAAGAAAAACTTTCATTTTCAGTACTGGAGAAAACCCAGGGCATCACACCCTGTAGGCAAAGTGTGATTGAGTGTCAATAAAATTTCATTTACAAAAGCTTACGGTAACAGGTGAGATGTGGTCGGAACAGATAGTTTGCTGAACCATGATATGAGAAACTCTCATACAAAAGTTAAACTATTGTTGCACATGCTCAGATTGATTGGTTTTGAGTTATTACCTTCCTTTGTATGGAAAATATACACTTAAAACATTTCTCTTCTAGTAAATAGAGGTAATCCATAATTTGATTATTTGAAATAACAAGGTGTTAGAATGAAGAAAGCAGAAAAAAAACACCACTGGTCTTTCTATTCAGGTCACCCACACTGTTCCTTGTCTCTATCTTCCTACACTTCACTGTTATTATATTTAATGTACAATCATTTGTCTTTGCTATTGGGTCTGTTGTCAGCTTGCCTTCCCTTGATTTTTGACTCCTAACTTTGTTATTGTAAATATTGCTATCTTTGGGGCTAAAGCGGTATACAAATTTCAATTTATTTCAACTTAATACAGTGGTTTCAGCCTGTGGGGTGTGATCCCTTTGAGGTTTGAATGATCCTTTCACCGGGGTCACCTAAGACCATGGGAAATATATAAAGATAATCTTATGGTTGGGGGTCACCACAACATGAGAAACTACATTAAGGGGTTGCACATTAAGAAGGTTGCGAACCACCTTACTAACAGAGTCATAGATACCAGAGACTGTTGAGTCAAAAGGACATAAGCCAAAAATGTATAATTTAAAATGGTTTTGGTAGATACTAACTATACTGCTAGGTGAATGTTGAAAGTCATACACTTATCAACTCTTATAATCCAGGAAGGCGGTGCGATTTTATTTCCTTAAAGTGACTGAAATTATTTATAAGAAAATAATCCTTACCTTGTTGGAGTCTGGATTCTTTATGTAAGGTTCAGCACTGCTCCCAATGTTTCCCATTAAAACTTTTTCAACTTTGGCCACCAAAACAATTTCAGAGTGTGGATCACTCACAGAGAATATAGCCTATGTCCAAAGAGATCGGTAAATGACTACCATAGAAAGCACCCTGAAGACATTCACAAAATACCATTGCCCATCCTGTATGACCTATTGTTAAGGAACAATCTAAGGGACAAGGCTTTTCTGTCCCATCACAAATAAACAAAAATGCAACCTGCTTTGGGAATTTTAACCATTCCTCTGGAAGGCCCTTTATGTGAGGTTCCTCTGATTGTCTTGGTGTGCCAGGGTCAATGTTGCCGTTTTCCAAGGCTGGTGGGGCTCCCGAGAGCATCTGCCGGACAGCAGGGTGATTCAGATCTACATGGAAATCGGCAGAGATCTTCCTGCTGTCTCTGAGGTCATAAAGTGCCACACTCACAAAAAAAGGCTCGATCTGTGGAGAAAACAAAAACCAGATGGTTCTGGCATAAAACAATTGTCTGGCTGCCAGCCTTGCACCACCGCGTCTCACAGCACATGGGAGAAAGATGGGCAGAAAGGAAGTCCTTGGCTCTGTTGGGAAGTACCCAGAAGCTCTCCCTGCAGCAGAGGTCTCCAAGCTCAGGGATGCTTCTCATTTGTTTCTTGACCCTAGACTGCCATCCAAGTATGCTTTTCCACATTTTTTTTTCCGAGACAGGGTTTCTTTGTGTAGCTTTGGAGCCTATCCTGGCACTCGCTCTGGAGACCAGGCTGGCCTCGAACTCACAGAGATCCGCCCGCCTCTGTCTCCCAAGTGCTGGGATTAAATGCGTGTGCCACCAACGTCCGGCACTTTTCCACATGTTTTATCACCAGCATATTATGTTTGAACAGCCTTCTAGTTGTTTCCCCCATACTCTAAGAAAATAACTTGCTACCTCAGTCTCTCCAGATCCTTGGAAAACAAAAATGGGATGGTAGAAGTTTCTAGAGTATACTGAGAACCACTTCACAAGTCCAACTGCTTTTCAGATTTCTTTCTTCCTCTCTTTCTTCTTTCTTCCTCACTCTTCCTCCCTTTCTTTTCTTTTCTTTTTTTTTTTTTTGAGGCAAGGTCTTTCTGTGTAGCCCTGGCTGTCCTTGAACTTGCTTTGTAGACCAGGCTGGTCTTGAACTCAGAGATCTGCCTGCCTCTGCCTCCCAAATCCTGGGATTAAAGGCTGCACCAACCACTACCAGGCTAAATGAGGAGCCTAAGCTGGCTTTGAATGGGTAATCCTCCTGCCAGCGCTTCCTTCAGGAAATCCTACCAGAATAAGGATTTAAGTAGAGTTTGTTCAAGGGGCTCCTGGACAAGACAAATGGCAAAGACATAGTGGAAGGGAAGGACATGGGAAACACAGTAGAGTGGAATCAGAGCAGGGCAAAATAGTCAGGAGCTGTCCACGTGCATTAGAGAGGCACTGGAAAAATGCTAAGGCTTAGTAATGCATAGCATATATTAAAGCAAAACACAGTGCAGGACAAACAGTATTACCAAGTCTTTGAGCATAGAGATGTAAGCTCATGAGAATGGTCACTGACAAGGTGATGGAGACACAAAGATGAATTCTTCATGAGACGCAGAGAGTCTTCTGTAAGATTGCTCAGTTGGCCATGAGTTTTGGGTTTCCAGGTCAGTCAAAAGAACTGGGCTGTAAGTCTGGACCTGGGAGCTTTGTGAATTAAACTCCTATTTAAGTTACAAAACATAGATGTGTTGTTTTAAATGTGAATGGTTCCCATGGGTTTATATATTTGAATACTTGCTCCCCCATTGGTAGAACTGCTTGGGAAGGATTAGAAGGTATAGCATTGTTGGAGGAGGTGTGCCGCTTGGGGACAGGTTTTGTGTTTTCAAAAGACTGGACCTGTTCCCAGTGTACCGTCTGCCTCCTGCTTGACAATCAAGATGTGAGCTCTCTTGGTTCCTGCTGTCATGGCTTTGCTCCACTGACATAGACTCTAACCCTCTGAAACAAAAGCCCAATTAAATGCTTTCTTTTACAAGTTTCCTTGGTAGTGGTGTTTTGTCAAACAGAGAAGAGAATCAGTACAGATTCCAGAAAGAGGACAAAGCAATCATAAAAGAGATCGGGCCAAGCCTGGAAACTAGGAAGGGGTTGATGAGACTGGAAAAGGGACACTTTGAATGAGAGAATTGGAGACGACAATGGAATGAAGTGGAGGGGGACTACTGGGGGTGAATAGTCACAATGAGGAAAGTGTGGGAATGAAGATGGGGGAGTGTCTGAGAGAAGGAACCAAAATAAAGTACGTATGAAAACAACATATGAAACTCTTACTTTGTAAGCTAATTAAAAATAAACACAGAATATTCAAAATAAAAAGAGAGTGGAAAATGTAGAGACATCTATTTTTTTCCTTCCTTCCTTCCTTCCTTCCTTCCTTCCTTCCTTCCTTCCTTCTTTCCTTCCTTTCTTTTTTCTTCTCCCTCCCTCCCTCCCTCCCTTTCCTTTTGTAGTATTGAGGGTCAAACCTATAGTTTCACACATGCTATGTAAATGCTGTACCATTAACCTCATACCACAACTCTAGAAAGACAAAACAAAATATGGTTCAAAATTCTTAAATGCTTTCAAAATATCATGGAAACAAACATTCAAGATATAAAGAATGTTTAACCAGAAAAGTGTTAAAATATGCATAAATTAAAGGATGGGGTGCAGGCCAATGGTGGGAGTCCTACTTAGTATGTGCATAGCTCTGGACTCCATCCTTAGCAAGATGAAAAAAAAAAAAGGAAGATAAAATAGCACGGGTTAAATTAGGCAAAATGTATATGTAAATACATTTCATATTTATATACACATGTTTCATATACATAGATACATGTATGGATAATTAAATATACTAGAAAATGACCATGCATGTGATTTTGTAGCCATGCAATTAAGTAGGGGTTCTAAAAGATTGTCAACAAATAACATTTTACTTTGGTTTGTGCTACTTAGTTTTTAATTGGAGTCTGCTGTCTGCCAATACTCTGTGAACAAGTAGGTTATACAAAGGGCCACATCCCAGTTAGTGCACTGCAGTGCAGACTCATGGTGCGACACTACTATCCTCTGTCCTTTGAGATCTGTCATGTGGTTAGCTTGTTACAGAAGTCCTGTTCAGTCATTTGATGATACCAATTCCTGTGAATATGAGGGATGAAATTCCAAGTTAAAATCAAGTTCAACACAGGCTCTTTTGAGGCTGCAGTGGCAGCCTAGTCAGTAAAGGGCTTGCTGAACAATCGTGAGGACCTGAGTTCACATCCTTGTTACCCACATAAAAATCTGAAGATGGCTGCATGTATCTGTTATCCCAGTACTGGGTAGGCAGAGTCAGGAAGGCCACTGGAGCTCATTGGCCAGCCAGTCAGGCTGAATCAATGAGCTTCACAGGTAGTGAAAGACCCTGGCTCAAACATTAAGGTGGAAAGACTACACCCAGCATTGACATCTGGCCTCCACACATATGTATGGACTCATCTGAGTGTGCATTCACACATAAACATGTACGTAGAACACACATGTACACACACTTAAATGTAATTATCAAGTAGAATTTTTAATTTTGGTAATTTAATTTAGTTTAGAAAAAACTTCATTTGTGGTAGTTGTATTGTGCTAACCATTGAAAATGCAGAAATAAAAAGAGATTAATGCAGGTACACAAAAGCTTTTGGAGGTCAAGAAATAGAAATCACTATTTTTTCCTGAATTATTGCATTTTGACTTCCATTCCCATTTTCTGAATGGAAATAAATCACCCCCATTAAAAATTACAGCTCCTGCAAGATTCGTGTATTTTTCCAATCCACCTTCACAGCAAAAATGCCAAACCTTACTTTTTGAATGGCTGGCTTCATGGGATGGGTTTTAACAAAACCTCCTCAGAGTTTGACAAATTAAGTTGTAGGCTCCTGAGGATTAGGCTGACAAATTGCTTCTGGACATTCAGGCAAAGGAAAATGTAAATGCAGCTTCAATGAAACAGCTTTATTAGCTCAGATGGCTGGGGTCTCAAAGAAATATCTTGTACCGTGGAACCATCAGCTAGAATTTGGTGCTTTATTGGATTGACTGAAAAATGACACCCTGTCAAAGTCTGCTTCCTCGCCATGAAGAAGTCTTTCATTGAGTCTGTAGATACTCGTGTGTGAAATGCAGCAGTTAGAGCTCCCGGAACGTGGAGCACTGATCTTCAAAACATGCTTATCAAAGCTAAGGACGATGTGGCTCAAGAGTGCCATTAGTGGAGGAGTGACACTGGATGAACACACGGAGCTTTCCCCAAACAATTCCAGTCAATGATAAACTGCCACCAAGTGCGGCTGTTTATTGATTTTTGATGTGATTACTAACAAGTGCAATGAAATTACTTTTTAAAAAGTGATTTCCTAGTTTATTTTTTTAAACAACTTGCATCTACTGTAAGATTATTTAAAAACAATGCAGAAGCTCAAAACCAACTTAACCCCTTGGCCTGAGAGACAAGAAAGGACAAGGAAAAGCCACTCTCAGGAGGCTGGAGGACAACTCATTGTTTAAGAGCACTGGCTGCTTTTGCAGATGACTCAAGGTACACCTACACACACGCATACCAAACAACAGTGCACATGAAGAAAATAAAGAAGAAAATGTTTCTAAAAGGATATGCAGGGTACGCCTACACACATGCATTCAAAACGCCAATGCACATGAAGTGAAATGGAAGAAATTTTAAAAATTGGAAATGTTTCAAAGAGGATACTCCCCTGAGAATTGAACAAACAGAGTCATATAGCTTCTGAACATGATCTACATACATGGAAAGCATCACATGCCTTTGGCACTGGAAAGAAAAGCCCGTTATTTCTGGGAGAGTGTTCGAAGGTTCACCAGAGAAGGACAGCTACTAGTGTGTCCCCACTGTCCTTCTACCATGGAAGGCTGTCCCCTTTAACCAAGTCGGGAGCTTTCAGGAGAGACACACATTGAGTGGTGGGGGATGCCAGAGCGATCTGCCTAGTCAGCCTGATCATCCCAATCAATGCTGGTGATCAATGGCGAGGGGTAGAGAGAACAGAAGTCATCACAGCCCCATCACCCTCACATCCAAAAATAAGCCCATTTTCTTTGACTTTTGGTTTTCAAAATAGATTTTTAAATTGCACTTAAGAATATAGTGGATGAAAAACATAGATTTAAAATATTTATGTTTTCAGTGTAGATCAATGTATGAAATGGTGAAGTCCATTTATTTTTAGGTAGTGTGCTGACTAAGTGGCTTTACAATTTGGATCAAGTTGTCTTAAATTTCCAAATGATTACAAGAATGAAATTTTTAGGCGCTTTGTTTTGTTTTGTGGTCGGCACAAAAGCATGGTCTGATCCCTTCTAATGCCTTTTTCTACAGGAAAGTGCAGCTCTCTGCTGCCATAACCTATTGGCTCCTCTAATCATGTTTCACAGTCTGGACCATCCCACACAGTGGGCTTGTTCTTTCTCAGCCTTTTACCCCACATTTCTCTGGTTTATCTCTCCTCCAACAGCAATTCCCCCTTAGTCTTTCCGTGGTGACTTTGCCAGCTACATTGGAATGTTTTCTACCGATCCCCTTCTCTATACACACAGAAATTGTTAGGGGATTCCTCCCAGGTCAGTGCCTAAGCTAGATCTTCAGCTTTCTAATTACATTCATAGTCACCTCTTTGAGCTGAATGAATGCTACATTGTACCAGGAACCTAGAACTTCCCATAGATTACCTGTTTGAAGAGGTTGCTGTTATTGTGCACCATTTACGTACAGGAGGACGAGGTCAGATACCTGATCACATGGCACAATTCTTAAGATGAGAAACTAGGGAATCTGATTCAAGTCATCCATCTCAATAGATTCTCCTCACCAAATAGGATGTACAAAGTATGGATCTATCCTGTTACTACAGTAGCAGATAGGAGGCTTGAAGAGGACAGAAGAATCAAGGACAAAAGGTTAGGAGGAATGTCTTCTAGAACACTCTTCTGAGACCAACTGGGCCCAACTCATCATGCGGGTTTCACTCATGATGGAGGCAGGTGTGGGCCTGTGTAGGGCTAAGCAAACGAACAACACCACTCCTGCCTTCTAAAGTACATATGACTTGTATATCAAGAACATGAAAATAAAATTTCTTTTCCGGGGTGGAATGCGGCAGTTGGGACTGCATAGGAGTCAGAAAAGACTGAATTGAAAGAGAATGAAAGAAAACACCCCAAAACATTGACTGAGAACTGTACCAATGGTGGGGTGATGATTTATTTTCTTTTCTGCAGTTCCACATTGAATTTTCTTTTCTTACGCATTTACCATCAGTCTAAAGTTTTTCACTATTCTGTTCTTACTAATAGGAGATTCTCAAGAGAGTTTCCTTAGTAGGAGAAGAAATTCTGTGTGGGTTTGATGTTCTGTATATTAGGTATTTGCAAATGCAGCCAAGTGCTTTTGATACCTACCATTGAGAGGAACACCCACACTTTTATCTAATGTTTATCTTAAGTTCTTTAATTGGTTTATCATTTAATCTTATTCTAAGAAGGAATATGATGAAATCCTCGAGTGGATTTGTTAGTTGGCTTCCCTCCAAGTGACAGCAAAACATAAATGTCAGTTTAAAAGCCATCTTGAATCAGGCATGGTGGTGTGCACCAGGCAGGCATCCCAAGCACCCGGAGAAGTTGATCCAGGATGATTGTGGGTTCTAGGCTAGTCTGAGCTACTCAGTAATACCCTGTCTGCTAAAAGTAAAGGCTGGAGATGTAGCTCATGGGAAGAGCACTTGCCTAACACTTGTAAGGCCCCAAGTCCTACCCTCAGCACATTAAATAATTTCATTTTCACTGTCACCAAACAGATACAAAGAATACTGGAGGAAACCACTATGCTGATTTTATACAAAGAATTCCAGAATACTGTCTCTTTGTTGCTTCTTAAATATCTAAGATAAGGGGAAATTTTTATAGCAGTATATGAAGAACTCTTCCTCAGAGCTTGTGTGCCTTTGCAATATGAGAAGTGCTAGCAAATAGACTCCCTGTACACTAGAGGCTAAATCCTGGGATTAGCAGGGGTAGAAAGGTTGGGAAAGGATGGAACAATGTAAGCTGACTGGTTATATGACAGAATGAGAGGAACTTACATTGGTCACAGGATCATTTTCATTCTCTGTAACACTTCCCTGAAGACTGAAATTGAGCGCTCTGCAGATGACCATGATTCTCTTGGCAGCTTTCTCTTCAAACGGTTTGACCACAAACTCGTTTTCAAAAATGTCCCTCTTTTGAAGCTTCAGGGTCTAAAACAGTTTTTGAAAGTCTTAGTTAGCCAACCCTCATCATGAAAAAGGACCTTTTAAATGAAAATCAACAGTTATATGGGTCAAGTTCCTCTTTGCTCGGAATCCCGACTTACATCTATATCTGGGTCCAGTGAGAACAGATTCAGCCTGTCCATGTTTCTTGTTGTTTTGACAGTTTCTTCAGTTTCTGTGAGGTACTGTGGAGAGACCCATGTTAGTTCCTGTCATCTGAACTTCCCCATGTAGCCCCAGACACAACCACAAAGGCCAAGAAACAGCCCATTAGTTATATTACTGTTAAGTCATCCACCAGCACTGGGCAAATCTTATAAAAACATATTCTTATTTTCAAAGGTTGTGCCATGTTAAGTAAAACACATAGATTGATGAAAAATTCTAGATTGGTTTCTTAGTCTAAATCTTAAAGGAAAGCATCAGCATTTTTTCCATGAAAGAAAAAAAAATGTGTGTAAATACAACATCAACTTCATTACTTTTGCAAAGTCGGGATGTAGGCTGTTCTCTGAAGAATCTGTTTCCTCCAGCGTACATTCACAAGTCACAGAATTATCCAATGGATCTTGAAAAGACAAACAAAACAGTTTATTTAATAATACAAGTCACAGTTTTCTTCATCTACAGAAATATTGGGTTAGATTCAAGAGCTCAGAGGGATACTGATGAACCCAAGTTTTCCTTTTGTGCTGTCCACAGTACCCCAGATTGATGAGCTGAGCAATCAGGGGTTAGAAGTGAAACTTCCTGACAATCATTTTACTATTCTAAGATCCTTGCTATCATGCCATGCTATCCTCCTGTATCACTGAGAACTTTGGATCCTTAGGATGCTGACAGGATAGATACGTTGTCTTGGCTCCCTTAAGTAACACACAATAAAATTTTCTCAAATATGTAAACATTTTTCTAATTTTCATTCTCAGGGCATCCATTTAGAACCCATCTTTTAGCTTCAGTTACTTAACCTCTGCAGAACACCAAAAACATGAATACTCTATTTAACAATTGGTAAGTAAATAAGTGACCATAAAAACACCTGCTATGGCCTATGGCGGTTGTGGGAAAACCAGCAAGTTTTCTTCCTTTTTTTTTTTTTCACTTTAGGGGACAGGTAACTCATGCAAGTAGAACTTAATAATGGCTATGCTTTGGTTTCTAATTCACCATTGTCTTAAGGTTTTCTTTGTCGAACACTGAGTTAGTGGTAGAGAACCTCCCATTTATATAGCTAAGAATTGATGGTTACACTTTCACCCTTTTCTATTTTCTTTCTTCCTACTCTTTGTTTATAATGATTAGAATGTTATGAGGCAACTAGGCTGCAAAAAGAAAAAGATGTGAGTGTATATATGTGTGTGTATGTTTGTGTGTGCCTGCACATGTGTATATGTGTAGGCCAGAGGTCAATGATAGTTGTCTTCCTCAGGTGCTTTCTGTCTTATATTTTTATTGATTGGTTTTTTATTTGCCAATTTCAGACATGCATGTAATGTGTTCTGATTATCCTCACCCCCTCTTATCTTATATCCAATTGCTATCACACCACCATTACCAGTCCATTCCTCAGATTCATGAGGTTTTGTGACCTATTTAGTTTAACCAGGGTCATCTGTGACTAGAACTACCTGTTGGTGCTACCCACCTTATTTTATGAGACAGGGTCTCTCACTGAACTCAGAGCTTACTGATATGGAAAGACAGGTTGTGCAGTGAGCTTCAGGGATGCCCCTGTCTCTGCCTCCCTAGCACCGGGTTTATAGGTGCACACTGCTGCACCCAGCTGTTTACATGGGTGCTGATATCTGAACTCAGAGCATCATGGTTGTATGGGAAGTACTTTAGTGACTGAACTCATCTTCCAGCTTTCTTCTTTTGGTCCTATGAAATGGTCCTATGAAATGGTCGTTCATTTTCAACTCAAAGGCATAGGACCAAAAGAAGACACATGATGTTGGAAATTTTATATATTAGCTGAGTTCAAGAATGTCAAAATAGCATGAACAAAAAAGATGCCTTGTAACTAAGAGGAAATAACAGTTTGCTCTGGCAGACAATATGTTGTACTTATCAAATGTAATGGAAAGCCCAAATCCAAAATGTACCTTCTGTAAGATCTTCCCATCAGAAATGTATGTAATTTTGGTGTTATTGGGTCATGAGTTCCAACACTGTCTGTTGGGTTATAGCCTCAAGTCCCTTCCAGTCAACTCACAATTATATGAATGTATGGCAACTGTAATGATTTGGTAAAAGTAAAGATCTGGGGTGAATGTCTTAGAGCATATAGCTCAAGGATGGACGAGCCCAGCCTGAAAGACAGCTACTAAGAGCCACAGTGAACTAAGCATGCAGATCACACTTGGCCAGAGTACGGAGATAATTTCCTGAGCTCTTACCCAGCCCCAGCTCGGCAAGCTCTGTGCTCTTCCTTCCCTGGAGTGGTCCCTCAGGACTGATCTGCAGGATGCGGTTGAGTGTGTGGATCCACTCATCCATATCAGACTCGGTTTCAGCTGCCAGCACAAAATAGGTCAGGTCGTTCATTTTCAACTCAAAGGCATATTTCCTCAGCCTGTTATTCTGTGATATAAAAAGAAAGAACAAAACAATAAACCATGAGGCAGAGAGTCGTTTATGTGGTCTTGGGATTCCAAAGTCTTTCCATCCAGGTGGGCAACCAAAAGAAAACCTTACAAAACATGACAGAGCTTTAGATGAGCCCAGTCATTTAGGTTTATTTTTCAGAACGGTTCGTACTAAAAGTGTTTTGTGCCTCTTTTAGCTGATTGGATGGCATTTGATTGGGAACGTTCATCTTCAGGCCTACATGTGACTATATTACAACCTTCTTCAGATAACGGCTTTGAGGCCCCATTTTTATTTTGTCACCTAAATTCAATCTGTGACATATTAATTAGTAACTTTTCTGACCCCATCATGCTTTAGAGACATCACCTGCCACAGTACTAACGAGATGCATGCATGTTGTCTTAGTACCCAGGGAACACTTCTTTCTGCGAATCTTCCTTGATCTTTTAGCGTAGTTAACACACTAGCTATCACTTTAATAAACGCTCATAGTCTACTGGATCCAAATATTGTCCATACACAATGACACCCAAACCCACCGCCACATTCTTCTTTAATTTCACATCTCTACACTGTATTTGGTGACCAGCTAAGGTGGTCTTGCCATAGTTCCCTGAATTGCTCCTGTAACACCATTCATGCAGAAATGAGTCCCACCTAGATATTCTCCAGACACAGTGAGTAGTCACTTGCTTCTCAAGTGCTGACATGATTTGCATTCCTTCTTCAAATCTCCACTGGAAATATTATTAAATTTCCCTGCCTAGACATGGAGACAAAGGTCCTTGGCTTCTGGAGTATGTAAAATAATTTGGAAGCACATAACTTCATTCTTTGTTTTTTAATCTGCCTTGACAAATATAAATATCCTTTAACCTTACTTTTGTGAGTGTTTGGATGGTTTTGATGAATCCTAGATCTTATAACATTTCACACAGGGTCAAAGCAGTCATAATTTACAAAGGAAATTAAGTAATCTAACTCTTCAAACTGGTATTTTAGTGGGGAAATTGTGAATGAATATGCGATTGAAGGATGGTCAAACAAACAGTGGAAAAATAGAACATTTTGTGGTCAATAGAGTTAAGATATGGGCTGATGTGCTAAATGGATTCTTTATATTGGGCAGTCAAGGAAGTCCTTCCCCCAGAAGGTGGCATATAGCTTGAAATCTGTATAAAGAAGGGGTAAGGAGAAGGGGAGAACACACAAGACCAGCTGTGAATTTCATATTCCAACCACAGAGGAGAAATGTAAATTCAAAATGGAAACCTGAGTAATAGAATAGGATTCTAAACACAACAAAAAGGCTTGGGAAAGGTTTCTGCTACATTCCTTACCTGTGATCCTGCTGTTACCTACTGAGCTGGTCTGGGTGACCACTGTCACATCACATACTTAAAAGGCATTCATGATACAGGGAGTCACACCTTTTCTAACTACAAGAGATTACACAGGGAGGCAACACATAAGCCTTGAGATTATGTAAATTCCAGGTCATGAAGAAGAAGGGAGAACTAGCAATAGGGCTTACTGTGGTTCTAAGCATGACCAAATGGTCTCTTGTCAAGCCTTCCAAGGAGCTTATTGCTTCTTCTGTATCATGGCCTAGGGTTGTTTGTTTTGTAATGACTCACAGGTCTGCTTCTCCAACATTTTGCAAGTCCCATGTGCAGAAGCTTAACATTTTACTTTTGTCATTTAGTGCAGTGATGGTTTACTGCCACAAGGGAGGGGTCTGCTATGTTAGCATGTTGTAGTGGGCAAAGCTCTACTTGGTCAATGGGCTTGCAGAATGGGGGAGATAAATGTTAAACACCTAGCCCTAGAAATATTAAATTGGAAAATAAGCATACTTGAACTGTGAATAGATGTTTTGAAAAGAGATGCTACATTCTGTAAGGACACAAAATAGAATTATTTGGACAAAACAAAGTAATTGCTAAGATTTGCATTTTGAAAGCAATTCAAACAAGATGGGAACACAAGCAGAAAGGCAGCAGCCTCAAACTTAGTATGCAAAATGAACATCTAGGGAGCTTAAGAATGCAAAGCCCTAGATGCTCTACTTGGGAGGGGTGGGAAGACTCCCTCCATCCACCCCATGGTGCCCTTCTGGTAAACTGTGGTCTCTAACACTGCCTGAGACTCTCAGGAAACAGAGGCTCTTACAGGCAAAGACAATGGGGTGGGGTTGGGAAGAAGGTTTCTTTATTAAGATTCTGATTGCTTCACACGACAAGAGAAATACAGCTGGATACCCAGGAAAAAACTAGGGATGTCCAGAGTGTGGGATATAACCTCTGCTTGGATGCTGTCAAGATCTGAATATAGCGCAACGCAAACAAATCTTAGTGTTGTTTCGAAATTCAATACTGTGGAATCTATTGACTAACCCGAGGCTGGAAATGCCATAGACTAGCAGTAAAACTACATCACATGATTGTTCTGGGTCAGAATTAAAGGTGGGTCTGCCGGCAGTTTGCTTTGAGATCCAGTTTTAGAAGTAAGACTTGATTTTCTAAATTGCATTCTGTACTTCAGGTGAGTTGAATATGGGTGCCAATGTTTTAATAATTCAAAAGCATTATTAAAAATAAATTTTAAGCAAAGAGTAACAAGCTTTTGTTTTGAAGAACAGGATTTTTCTAAGTGAAATGGGCATTGTGCTCGTGTTTCTTTGAGACAGCTATCTGCAGTTTCTGGGGAGGCAGGTGGCAATGCCTATGCTGGGAGTACTTTTTGATCTCACTATCTGTATTGCCAAAGATAACCACACACAGAGCAGACTAAAAAGAAAAACAAACATGGGAAATCAATAAGGCACTTGAGTAATCCTAAATGCAATTGTTGACATTGAAATAGCAAGCAAGAGGTAATGACAATTTTTAAACTCTCTCAATTTCCCTCCTTTGAATCAGTGTCCTCCGTAGTTGACACAAGGCTTTGCCCAGTCAAGAGGACATGGCTTCATGAATGACAGGGAATGCAGCATGTTCTATGGCTATGTAACATGCTTGATGGATGGTGACAGACAGCCTGCAGCACATTATTCTCCTCACCTGGAAACGATCCAGTTATTTAGACAGTAAAGAATGTACACATGTCAATGGAGACTCAGTGTTAAAGAGGGAGATTGGCCAAACCCTTAACAGGCTCCATTATGCCTGTCCTGCTACTAGAATTGTTTATAGAATTTTATAGGAAGCAAAAGAGAATGATGAAACATATGACATCCCACCCAGGCTCATGATGCTGGTGGCTCCCATCCATCTCATCTTGATTCTGTTAACTCAGGAAACAGAAAGTTATCAAATACTGTCTTTGTGTTAATTACACAGCATTAGCAAATATTCAGGCTAAGTGCCTTTTCTCATTGAACTTGCACTCTACTTTTCCTTCCTCCTTCCCTTCCTTCCTTCCTTCCATCCTTCCTTCCTTCCTTCCTTCCTTCCTTCCTTCCTTCCTTCCTTCCTTCTTTCTTTCCTTCTATGTGTGTGTTATGTACATGTTTGTGTTTGAGAGTGCATGTGTACTTATATGCTTGTGTGTAGATGTGAGTGTTACGTACATGTTTGTGTTTGAGAGTGCATGTGTACTTATATGCTTGTGTGTAGAGGCCAAAGGTTAATGTCGGTGTCTTCCATTGTTCTTCACTTTATTTTTTGAGTTAGGGTCTCTAATTGAATTTGGACATTCCCCATGCAGTTAGATGGCTGGTCAATGAGCTTCAAGGATTTGTCTATTTCTGCCTTGTAGACTCAGGATTACAGATTCATGCAGCTTCATCAGACTTTTCCATGAGTTTCTGGGAATCTTAACTCAAGACCTCATTTTTTTTCAACAATCATATACTGAGTTATCTCCCCAGACACCTAAATTTACCTTCTAATTTGGCGTCAGTAAACAAATAGGCAGAAATATGTGTGAATAGAATATACTGTGAAATAATATATCAATTGCTATTATGATGAGGCATTGTGCAGTGATAAATGTAATTTCATCACTGCATACATTGTGAAGACTTAATGTCTTATCATATTCCACTTCTTTTTCTGTGTGTTCTCCCCATAGGCTGGAAACTCTTTCAAGACAGAAAGCACACCTCTTTCTCTATCTGGTTTTTCCAATGAACTGTGCACACTTTCTTGTATATACTTGCCGAGAGGAATCTAAATCTCGATGCTTTAAACCACACATGTGCATAGCACTGTGAGTTTCTCTGACCACATGGCTTATATGGAATGGTGAATATAGGTGGGTATACTCATTTTATGTGTTGTAAGCACAGTATCCCCATAGACATCTTTCTGTAATCTTGGATAGTCCTCTACCTTGTATCTAATTTTTCCACTTGTTAATTCTATGACTTGGGAAAGCCGCATTATCTCTCCTGGTTTTATTTTGGTAAACAGGAAAATAGTAATGTATTTTCCATCAACTATCTCAAATACTAACCATATTAAATTGATAAGGTTGTAAGTACCTTTCTGGTTGTTACTATACTGGGAAACAAAAATATTCAGAGCCAGAATTTGTTATTGGGAAGTGTGTGGGCAATATATGGCCTCTAGATCAATTTCCTTCCAGAATTATACTCATCCCATGTGACTGCTTTCGATGGGCATGTATACCCCATTTTTCTACTGTTTAAGGTACCCCTGCATCTCATACTCAGCCCAGCTCACTCATGCAAAGGGTTGTCTTAACTTACAGAAAATATTCTAACACTAGCCTTTAGATGAACACATGAGGTCATTTTTTAAGTTCCATATCCATGTGCTGGCAGGTGCCACCCTACCACCAACTTGAGCCTTTCTGATAAGTTTCCAGCCATCAGCATTGTTGAGATGAGACCTCAGATAAATGGGATTCTTGGGCCATTTATTTTCTTTCATAGTGGTAAACCCTGAAATGCAGGGATGAATACATGGGTAGCTGGATAAACAAATGACTGACTGACTGAAAAAAACCTGAAGGACCAAGATTGAGTAACCCAGACAAAAATATTCTCTAGTCCCAGGATAAACCTGCATCAGCAAAAGTGGTAGGATCTGTTCCAGACTGGTCTATAATACTGATCTAATGCTGTTTGTTGATAGTTTTTAAGAAAAGAAAATGAAAAAGAAAAAAAAAGAAGCATTGTTAGTTTTTGTTGTTGTTTGTTTGTTTGTTTGTTACCAAGACTTGAGAACCTGGCAAATGTCAGTAAATGCTTCTGAAAAAGAATTGATATTTCCTCTCCTTAAGGTCACCCTTTTCCTGTGTATCTCACAATTCCCATAATTATTATTGGGGAAAAATAATGATATAGGCTGATTCCAAATGAGGCAAACTAAAATGCTGTGTTCACTAAAAGATTTTCTTATAAACTTGAACTCCCAAAGAATCCCAGAAGTTAGGTAGCACTTACTGAGACAAAGACTTTGTTCTTTTTTTTTTAATTCAAGAAAAACTGGCAAGGATCCTTGACAAAACAGATCTGACTCATCCTGGTTATTCATTTGTTCTGTGCTTTTGTGCATGTGTGATTCATCTTCAGGCACAAAATGTGCTTGGGATCTTACTAGACTGATAGTTAAAATTCACATGATTTCTCTTGCAATCTCCTTGCCAGGTATAAAAATGTGTAAGTCAGAAAGAGCCGTGATGTAAGAAGTGGGACTAGTGTCCCCGATGTACATGTTCCCCCAAAAGAGACTGATCTCGGTTAACTGGATGCCCCTGCTTTGACAAAGGAAAAGGATATTGGGAAAGGTCTTGATAAGTTCAGGGATATTTAAAGAATCAATAAACTCTTTAAAAAAGACACATAGATAGCCAGGTGGTGGTGACACACCTTTAATCCCAGCACTTGGGAAGCAGAGGCAGGTGGATCTCTGTGAGTTCAAGGTCAGCCTGGTCTACAGAGCAAGTTCCAGGACAGCAAGGGCTACACAGAGAAACACTGTCTTGAAAAACCGATAACAATAAAAAAGGACACACATATAAAAATCTATCTTGAGGAATCCTAAAGATCCAGATACTCTGTCTATCCTCTGTTCTGACACCTCAGAAGAAGATCTCAAATGTGACTATCAGTTTTGAGATGTTTGGAGCTAAGAGAGTTATCACTCTTCTGACTCTGTAGAACCTCACAAGTGCTACCATTCACATCTCCACCTGCCCTCTAGGGGTGCTGAGTAACAGTGAGTCTTGCTCTGATGTCACAGTGAACATGCTCTGATGTCACAGTGATCATGTTCTGATGTCACAGTGAGCATGGCTTGATGTCACAGTGAACATGTCCCTCTGATGTCACAGTGAACACAGTGGTCTGATGTCTGTCTCTGACTTTAACAGGGAAGTGAGTTTCCCATGCTTCGACACAGTTCCAAGCATAAGATAGGCACTCAATAAGGTACTGGATGAATGAGTGAGTCGGTGAATAATGATATGCATTAATTGACATATTTAGGGGTCAGTTTGAGGAAGGCAAATCACAATTTACTAGGCTATTTTTCTACAATTGAATGTGAACTAAATGGGGCAATCAGGGAAGCGAGTGGGAACGCAGTATCATCCAGATCCTTCCAAAGCCTGCATGTTTACTTCAGTTTTGTGGATGAGAAACCTAAGGTAAGAGGTTGAGTGACTAATTCAGCAGGCTCAGGAGGTCAACAGCAAAACTAAGATCTGAGTGCTGACCGGAAGGAGCCCTAATCATCTGCTGGCCCTGTCAGGTTCTTCCCAAGACAATGTTGTAAAAGAGACTGGAACAGAATCTATGTTAGAGATGCTGAAGGTAAGTGCCTATCTGGTACAACAGCACTGAATATAAAGACTATAACCCTGTAAATTTAATATATAAAAAAGACTATGACAGGACTTTTCAGAATGACTCACCAGAGATAACAAAATAGAAAAAAA